GCTCGCTGACATGGTTGATGCATGTCATCGTATCTTAGTTGCGTGGATCGTTGCTTATGGTGTAACTCACTGGCCATGGATCGTCTAGTCCAGACTCGATTATATACAGACCTCCGTCATATAGCTGGAATATTGCTGAGAGCGGCGTAAAACAACAAACCAACCTACCAATTTTTCCTAACTGCATGTTGAAACAGCTACAGTAAACTACGGTTATAACGAACTCAAAGGGACCACTAATTTGAGTTCGTAAAAACCGTAGTTCGTTATAAGCATATATACAGCATATATACAACAAATGGCCGGGACTGAAACATAGGTTTGTTACATCGGTCATTTCTTTATGAGCATATTCGTTATAAACGTAGTTTACTGTATGTGGCGTGACGATAGTATCATATCAACTTTTCAAACCATGACCAGAGAGCGGAGGAAGAAAGTAACTTTATTTCTACTGTAAACGCAATATGGCAGTAACGGAATAGCATGTAGTGTGTCCAGCTACTAGTATTCGGGATGTGTACGCAGTACGCTGTCAGAGTGTCTCTGTGACATACCAATCTCATTAAAATCAGATCTAAGTTCTCGCTGCCGCTAAACAAAGATCTGAGGACCCATTACGGGTCACGTCAGAACGACCTTTCGCGAACTTTGACTGACCACTGAAATGACTAACAAGAAGTCGACATCAACCAGTTAGAAAGCAGCTTTCTCGAGCTTTATGGCACTCGTTTCAACCTGGCGACTTCCATTTCAGACTAGCTTGAAAAATATGTTGACGCAGTACTCGATTAAAAGTTTGAAAACCGAACACACGAACATTCCGGAAGGACTAATATGTGATTGAGATTGTATGGCAGTGCTTCCCACGTACTGTGCAACGCCTCCTCCGTTCAAATGTTAGACGAAAGATAGACAATAATTTTGACGGAATTAGTCGTACGGGCCGTAACTGTCGTTCGGAATACATCGTGTTAACGTTTTCGAGCTTGCATGATTAGAAAACACATTCCGAGTGTCACTTTCATGATCTAGTAAGCGACACTTTGATTGGTCGGAGGAAAGGTCATTCTGAAGTAATGGGATGTCCTCAGTTCTTTGTTTAGGGATAGTGAGAACTAAGATCTGATTTTGATGAGATTGGTGACATACAAGCTCGTTTCGTGTGTTGCGCAAGTTAAAACAATTGTTATAACAACTGCAATCGTCCCTTTCACATTTCATAAATACGTCTCCGCGTGTCTTCAACACAACTGGAAAAATATTCATCGATAGCGACTGTTTGATAAATATATAGTAGTTACTGTATACAGGTAAGGTTTGCAAAGGTTTAGGTAAAGCTGGCCTTTCATATGAAAGTAGTAGTTCTCTACCATCTGTTTTCCATGAATTGAACCGCCGCCATACAGCTGGAGTGCGGCTTAAAAGAACAAACCAACCAACCAACTAATCCATGAATTGCATCTACTTTGTGACCCATGGAGACACAGGATGGCGTTATTATCATGGATCAGAGCACGGGAAAAGGGTCTGGTCCAGTGGGCGGAGATTTGTAGCTGAACTATTTTATTTCTGTTGAAATACTACAGAGACAACAACAACAACATTGCAGTAAATCCAGCCTCTCCTCGGTATTGTCAGTTGGGTTTATGTGGGATTTTACGGTACCTTCAACAGTACAGCGATGTCTTGAACAAAACAGGTTAAAAACTGCACAGGTTTTCTCTCGTAGAGGAACGAGATGACGCACTGCTCTGTTCAAGAGACTCGCGATTTACCACGCGTGGGCGATTCTGGACGAGAATCTGTTCTACAATGGTAAATGTGTCAGTGTGAACACGAGTAGTTGTCTTTGTTTGATTGTTTGTTTGTTGTTTAACGCCGCACTCAGCATTATTCCCCCTATATGACGGCGTCAGTAAATAATCGAGTCTGGACCAGACAATCCAGTGATTGACATCATGAGCATCGATCCACACAATTGGGATACCATGACATGTATCAACCAAGTCAGCGAGCCTGATCCACCCGATCCCGTTAGTCGCCTCTTACGACAAGCATAGTCGCCTTTTACATCAAACATGGGTTGCTGAAGACCTATTCTACCCCGGATCTTCAAGGGTCGAATGGGGTCACGGGTGGCCCAGTCGTCTGAGGCGCCGCGATTCGCTGTGCAGAGTTGCGTCCCTTGGGCACGCCAGAATCCCGGTTCTCCCCGATTATGTTTCTAGGTTTGTCAGCACCATACCCGGGCTCGTGGGTTTCACCAAAGTGGTAAACGTCTGAGACCTGCATCACTTCGGGCTTTCCTCCCACATTAAGCTGATATAACTGGAATACTGTTAAAAGCGGCGTTAAACCCAACTCCCTCACTCCCTCACGGGTCGAGTAGTCGTCACTGTGTGTAGGTCCTCGCGTCCACGAAATTATCATTGGACGTTAAACACCTAAATGACTGACCATCTGTAGGGTGTTATACAGTTACTTGTATGCTATGACCTACCCCTTTATAGTTGACCCCGCATCTGAGAGGCCTGAGTATCATCTCTGGCAAGCAGGGGAAGAGGCGGTCAAACAGAGGGCAGACTAGACGAGGGTCAATGCTCTCCGGACGTCTCAAACCTTAAACATGGAAAAATGTGACTAAAAGTTTGATGAATTCTATTCACTAAAGTTCTCGTATTCACTGTGAAAAAAAAATAGAAGAAAAACATTGAGAGCTATTATATAGGTTCGGTTACATTCTGAATAATTATTCATTAGTAATTGCCCGTCAATACATTTGTGAAGAATGCGTTTGTTGTGGCTTATTTTTTTAAAAATGGCACCTTATTTTAGTTGTGATAAAGATTCAGTACATTACTCACGGCAAATATCGACATGTTAAGCAAAAATAATTTTGATTAATAATAGCTTTGGTAGCAGACCCGTGATGAGGCTAACGAACAATCCCACGATGACGAGCACTGCCATCGCCGTCGGCGTGTAGTAGAGATAAGATAACTTGTACATCGGTATGAACGGGTCGCTGGAATGTAGGAATAGGTCGGTATGAAAGGACCACTGGAAAGTGGGAAAACTGACTTGGTTGATGCATGTAATCGTATCCCAATTGTTCTGGATCGATGCTCATGACACCAATCACTGGATTGTCTGGTCCAGACTCGATTATTTACAGACCTCTGTCATATAGCTGAAATATTGCTGAGTGCGGCGTTAAACAACAAACAACAAATTTGTACACCCTCGTCAGGCCAGCTTGGTAACGTGTATTTCTCTATACGAAATTGGCTAACATGTCAGTGGGACATTTATTCATTTATTGTGAGAAGATTTTACCGCCTTCTCGGCGGTTTGTTTGTTGTTTAACGCCGCTCTCAGCAATATTCCAGCTATATGACGGCGGTCTGTACATAATCGAGTCTGGACTAGACGATCCAGTGAGTTACACCATAAGCAACGATCCACGCAACTAAGATACGATGACATGCATCAACCATGTCAGCGAGCTGGCCACCCGATCCCGTTAGTCGCATCTTACGACAAGCATACTCGCCTTTTACGGCATGCATGGGTTGTTGAAGACCAATTCTACTCCGGATCTTCACGGTCCCGATGTACATGTAAGTGTACCATTAATTCTCTCCTTTCCATTTGCACATGAGTGAGCAAGTTTGGGTGTTGGGGTGAATAATTAAATTTACCGTTTGAGACAGTTTACAGTTATATATGTGGATCACTATTTCTCAAACATATGACTAGCGAATCCGGGTACAGCTAAACGAAAGGCGGAGCCTCAGATCACCCGATTCCTACATTCTCATCAGAGAAAGAGAAATAACGATACAAACCTATTCTACTTTGTATACCTTGACGCTTCAACCGTTGTCATCTCGGTTGAGCCCGTAAAAGGTGTGGTTGTAGTCCCTAGTGTTGTAGTGGTAGTAATCGATGTCGTTGTGACGGACCAGTTGCAGCCGTGAGTGAAGACAGGGGAAGGTTTGGCAGTGGAAACCTTGTTGGCGAATGCACCAAATCCGATCCAGCACATGAAGGCCAAGGAGGTCAGAGCGCCCACTAAAGCTCCCTACAATGTATGAACCAACCACTTTTGTATTTGCCCAAGCGTTTTTATACAAATACATATACTTAATACTTTCTTCACGAACTTTTGATAACATAGTCTTTACAAAGAACGTTATATGTCACACCTCACAAACTAATATAAAAAATAAAGCGATTTTACCGACAATTTTATTACAAAATCATTATTGAATAGGAATTGTGTACTATTCTCCATGTGAAAAAATGAATGTCTTAACGACGTGAACTGTTTGCTGCTTTGAAGAAGATCTTGTTTATATTTTGTATGTGTTTGGTCCTGTCAAGAGGCAGCGGTATCACAACGCCTTTGGCTATATGATGAAAAGAGCCAGTTTGAACCGTGTTGATAACACTGCACGTTCAAGTGAAAGTATCCATGCAAAATAGTAATAGATATTTCTAACATCATTTTGTGCCCACCATAATTTAGAAAACGATGGCCGAGGAAAAGCTTTAGCGCGAGGTTCCAAATTATAATAAAGAGGTATCTACTCTACATTCGAACTACATCAAATTTCAAAACACAGTAGGTTTATCTCCATTCTAGCATGACGGCAACAACGTTTTGAAAACGGCACTACGAGATTCTCGTACTTTTTTTAGGGGTTGAGTCCCGTCCGGGATTCGAACCGACACTGCCAGAGTGAGGCACCTAATCACCAGCACACAAAGTCAGCGATCTAACTCACTCAGCCACTGAGGCTTCCACAAAAATGAAAGTCCGACAACTGGTAGTCTAGATCACGTACTTTGTGTACCCCTAGGAAAAGTGTAAATTAGCACGGCTCCCATGGCCGAAAGCTATGAATACACAATGCCATTTAGAAAGTGGTCAAATGTTAAAAATGTTACATTTGGGATAACACTTTCTTAGTAAAGTACAGATTCTCGTACTTTTATCCCGGACGGGACTCAACCCCCCCCAAAAAGTCCAGCAATCTCTTGGCGACCATCTTGGAATGTTTGGCCACCAGCGGGCTCTGATCACGGAGATTTTTATCTAAAAGTGTAAACCATACTTCAATGAGTTAGTCTGCCAAGTAATAATTATGCATATAAGTCCTAGCACACTGTTTAGAGTTAAAAGATTCCACAGTCTAAACTCATATTAAGGAAACTTGTCAGCCATCTTGAAATTGGCGGCCATCTTGATTTTTTGTAGATTTATCAATAGTTGAAAACGTTCAGTAATAGTGAATATCTTTTTAGAAACATGTCGCAATACAAAACATACTTTTTTCATCAAAAGACAGAACCTCATCTGAAATACGGAAGATATATTGGCAATTGGTGGCCATTTTGGATTTGCAAAATTTGACATATTTCCCAAACTAGGATTGTTTGAGACTTTAAGTATGTTGTTCTTGGGACCTTGCGGAAATGCATTGTGGTGAAATAAATTCTGATGCAATTTGTTCCAAGTGAAACCTGGACTATATATTTAGCTCTGCATACAAGGCTCCGCCTCCGCTGCATTTTTGTTTCAGCATTTGAAATTGATAGACAGGACAAAAGTGCAAATACGCCTTACTTACGCGCCGCTTTCGATGTTTTGCATACGATATTTTCATTAATCCTTATCTCCAAAGGTGTATATACTCATTAGACTTGCACTTTACGTACAGGTCATCAACATTGTGTCAGTCGGTGGGAATACTTACCCATGCGTTTGCCCATGGAAAGAACATGCCCAGAACAAACAACCCAAACAACGGTCCATTGAGGATGCTGTACACACTGTAGGAGGCCTGTCGAAAGACAAGTATTGAATTTGTGAAACTGTTATTTTTTTTTAACTTATTGTGTTTTAAAGAATATTTTGTGACTGTCTTATATTGATTTCAAACCGTTTGGACCTGAGTGACTTAGTAATAATTGCCTCACGCAACATCAACAATCTTACAGCCATTTGCGGCAGTCAAATAAAACATCCAAACCACTTAAACGTAGTTAACGCTTCATATTATGATATTCATAAAATAATTTTACTGTTTCTTACTGAATGATTCAATTCTAATGATGACATATTCTTGTTATTTACTAACAGGTATAATTTACGTAATAGGTTTAAATGAATGTTACAGCTGTAAATGTACGCGAACAGCGTCCTATATGTAGTTTCATCTTCTATGTTTCGATATTGTACCCGTGAAGATCCGGGGAAGAATAGGTCTTCAGCAACCCATGCTTGTCGTCTTACAGTTCATATGGGGTGATCGATCGGCAGCCATTTTCTTGTGCGGCGTTAAACAACAAACAAACAAATGTTTCGATATGTGATGTTTCCTTTCTCCAGGAACCTAAACCACGTTAGTGCAACACTTTGGTATTTCCAAAACAAGACACTGGTTTGCCGGGTTCAGACTGTGACAAAGGTAGAACATTGATGTCGACGATGTTAAACAAGGTATCAGTTCTAAAGACAAGAATGATGTACTGGGAATCTGTTCTGCCCCTGAATCTTCCGGGATCTTTCTGGGCATAATAAGCAGAGGCAAATGGTTTATAACAAATCCTTCGTTACACTGAATCATTCGGCATGCCGTTGACATGCAGATGCAATTAATGAACATACCTGCATCACAGACCCAAGTTGAGACACGAGGACTGCAAGGCCAATAGCAACACCCCCGAATATGACAACTAGAAAAAATACATGTACATTTATCATAGGCAGTTTGGCTGGATGTAGGTTTTATCACGAAGTTTTGTACATGTTTTATATATTCCCTGAGTTGATAAAGTTAAATATATCTATGAGATAACAGCAGCTTGACTTATTTCCAACAGGACAGAGTCATGAAAAAGAAGAAGAAGAAGAAGACGAGAGTCATGAAGAAGAAGAAGAGAGTCACGAAGAAGAGAGTCATGAAGAAGAAGAGAGTCATGAAGAAGAAAACGAGGACAGTCATGAAGAAGAAGAGAGTCATGAAGAAGAAGAGAGTCATGAAGAAGAAAACGAGGACAGTCATGAAGAAGAAGAGAGTCATGAAGAAGAAGAGAGTCACGAAGAAGAGAGTCATGAAGAAGAAGACGAGAGTCATGAAGAAGAGTGTCATGAAGAAGAAGAAAAAGAGGACAGTCATGAAGAAGAAAGGAGTTACGAAGAAGAAGAAGAGAGTCATGAAGAAGAAGAAGACAGAGTCATAAAGAAGAGAGTTATGAAGAAGAAGAGAGTCATGAAGAAGAAGAAGTGCGTCATGAAGAAGAACAGGGCAGAGTCGTGAAGAAAAAGAGCGTCATAAAGAAGAAGAAGAAAGGGTCACGAAGAAGAACTGGACAGAGTAATGAACAAGAAGAAAATTCTCCGGTTTTGAACCCGATAGAGCACATTTGGGATGAATTTGACAGACGGCTACGCCGACGCCAACCACACCCCAGACGTTGCAGCAGTTGGTTTTTGCGTTGCAGGCCGAGTGGGCTCCCAAATCCCAGGATGTGGTTCGCATACTCGACTCTTCCATGCGCAGGAGATGTCAGTCCACTATCGATTCCTACGGGGGACATACGCGTTATTGATGGTAGCTGACCTTCACCTAGGACTTTTCTTATGTACCGATAACTGAGATGACTACAATCACCATGTGTTCTCTCCACAACATTTTGGCTCAATACCGTGTACGGTTCTTCGTATAAATGTATTTTCCTACCTCACACAAATCTGGCTTTGCGTTTCTTTTTTAAGACTATATATACCATCACACACTGTGTGAAATATCATACACTGTACTTGTATGAGAAATAAAGGTGTAATAGTTATCCCGTGATCAGAACACTAAATGTTTACATTAATGATTTAACAAAACCTATCTGTTTTATCCGTACTTAGGCAGCTAGGGGTGTAACAAGCTTATCATTCCGCATTAAGAATACGGTCAGGTCGGCAGGGGACATCTGCATATTTGTTTAGTTTCAGCTGGATGCTAATTGCCATACATCATACCTTAAATCTGAAACGAGATTACACCCGGCACGAAAATGTATCTCATCTTCAACGGCATTAATATTACAGTGTACAAATACTGTCCTGAAATGTTTTTTTAGGGCGGGTAAATCTATCGAATTCTATTTCTAATGGCGACCGCCTCCGTGGTCTAGTGGTGGAGCGTCCGCCCGTAGAGCGGAAGGTGTACCCGGCCGCGTCATACCAAAAGACGTTAAAAGATGGTACTTGTTGTTACCCTGTTTGGCGCTCGGCATTAAGGGGCTAAAACAAGGACTGGTCGGCTCGGAGTCAGTATACTGTGTCTGAGTAGGGTATCCATGTTAAACTGCGGCATGGTATCTCAGTGTGCTAGCACTATAAAACGGCATCAGTCCGGACTAGTACAAGCAGCCACACACACACGTGCATGAACGTCGCTATATAAGTGCAATAATCTTGGACGCAACGTTAAACCCCATTTCACCTCACCTATTTCTAATGACAGAGTGCCGCAGCTCAACTTATTACATTGCGTTGAGATCTGCTCATATTAGCAGAAACATTTGTTTCAACAGTCAAGGTGTCTTTGAACAGTCTATTTGTACGCAACTTGTTTCCCTTGTCTAGACCTCTGTCATTCCCGAGATCATTCAGCCAATCGTAACTATCTAAGTGCATGGCAAGGTTGAAATCTAAACATGAGATATTATACAAATCGGAAATTTGTAACTGCAAACTATTGAGCAGGGGTAAATATTATTATTCCAAGATTTACGAAAGTTAACCGACCATTTACATACGGCACTTATTATTCTTGACTAATATGAAGCATACAATCTGCACCAAAAGCGTAAATCTCAATTCTTTGTTTAGTTACTGTTGACATCGAGCCCATTACACCACGGACAGCCAATTTGGGGGTCTTTTACTGACAGCTAAGAAGAATCTACATGTTCAGTTCGGGATAGCATTAATACAGGTAAATTATATTCCTTGGCTCCCAAATTGCAGATCCATTGGATATGATAGGCTGGAGTTTTATAAACGTGATAAGCCAAACAACCAACTGACTTAAATTTACAAATCAAGACACCAAGTGCCCTATTAGCAGATTTACCAATTTCTTTAGCAGTAAAATTCAAGTCAAGATTTTCATGTAACCAAATCCCAAATATTTGTAAGCATGAGCAGTTTCTACCTCTTCACAACCAATCAAAAAGGTAAAGTCGGATCTTTTAACAGAACATGGACGGTAATGAACAACCTTAGTTTTCTAAATGTTTACAAGTAAACACCAGTTTGCCACACAATCTAACATTCGTTTTAATGAATGCTCGTCTAGTGCAACAAGGGCGATATCATTAGCATACATCAAAATACTTAGCATATAGACAGACAGAGTTGTTTATGTAAGTCTCACTCATGGTACAGTTGATAGAACATTGTATGAAGTACATAAAAAATAAAACCATGCCCAATCGCCCAGCAGTTTGTGAGAGACTTATACGTATAGTTAAGACAATGTATAAACAGTAAACAAGCATTAAAATACACAATAAAAAGGATAAAACTATTTATACAACGACGCTTTAATAAGATACTTTGGCAGGTTTTGGCCTTGTCAGTTAAAACATAGTGTAACTTCTCTTGCATATTGAGACACTGAAAGTTAGCGTTTTGTTGACATTTGGTTAGGGTATCTCGTCATTCTTCTTCGTATACTGGACATAACAGGAGGACATGCATCTCATTGACACAGTTGAAGCAAGATCTCTGATCGCTCGGCATACCCTCGTAATGACCCGTCTCTATTCGAATAGGCGCGACCCAACATCTGATATCTTCAAAGGGACTTGCAGGTAGTGTTCCGTTTGATAATTCGACTTGAGTTTATTGCCTCCGGAACCACGGGTTGAGACGTCTCTACTAATATCTCTTTCCCAGCTGAGTATGAAGTCTTTAAATATGGCATCAGAGCAGCACTGTATACAACTATCGACCACACCATTGTATCATAAAGTTTAGTAAACACCTTAAAAGGCAATCCGCCATGTAACTTGAATTTGCTAATTAAAAGGCCCAAGGCTCTGCCAGCTGATTTTGTTGCTGCTTTCGCCATTAAACTGTAGTCGAGGTGTTCTGTTAAAAGAACTCGCAGGTATTGGTAGCAGTCGGTGACGTCTATGTTGATATCACCACAGTTGAATTTGAAGTTTGATCTTGGGAATTTCGGAAATGAACAATCGTTTATTTTTCTGGGTTTATAGCCATATATTATTTAACTGGACAACACAATTTAAATTGTTAATTTCAATGGCGAGTTCATGTATGGGTCATGTATGGGTCAGCTGCATGTAATTAGAGTTAGACAAAGGCCGGTTGGCCACTGAAGCGTGACATTGTGGATGAGGTTCGAGAGACCGCAGGCTGACCATACATGTGTCGCAAATGGGGCACGTGGTTTTCTGATCGAGATTCGCCTATTTGGAAAAAAATGGACAATGCTTTGTGTGAGTCGAGTGTTGACCCTGGTAGCTGTTGACAGCATAGAGGTTGACCGACCTAGGCCTAGGAGATTCTAACTGGAGACTAAATTCATGATAATGATGGAGCTGCATGATATCAGAATAAATGTTGTGGACCCAAAGACTTGTGTTGTCAAATGCAGAAGTATCCGGTAGAGCAACGACATATGCCTGGGATATAAGTAAATATTAGATACTGTACATGATAAACCATATTGTAATTTGCGCACTTTAATAAATTGCAAGGGACAAGTGAAGATCCGGGGAGGAATAGGTCTTCAGGAACCCATGCTTGACGTAAATTGCGACTATGCTTGTCATAAGAGGCGACTAACGGGATCGGGTGGTCAGACTCGCTGACTTGGTTGATGCATGTCATCGTATCCCAATTGCGTGGATCGATGCTCATGATGTCAATCACTGGATTGTCTGGTCTACACTCGATTATTAACAGACCGCCGTCATATAGCTGGAATATTGCTGAGTGCGGCGTTAAACAACAAACAAACAAATCTTAAATATAGGTCATACTTGTGGCATCGAGATCATCTACGAGAACAGTTTTCTGTCGTCCTTTTCAATGCTTTGTGTCTTAGTTTGTTGTTTAACGAGGCACTCTGCAATATTCCAGCTATATGACGGCGGTCTTCAGCAACCCATGCTTGTCGTAAGAGGCAACTAACGTGGTCGCTTGGTCAGTTTCGGTGGCTCTGTTGGTGCATGTTATCTTATACAAATTGCATACATGTGTAGCCCATGATTGCCGTAAAAGGCGACTATGCTTGTCGTAGGAGGCGACTATTGCTGAGTGCGGAGTTAAACAGCAAACAGACCAACCAACTAAAGCGCAAGCATAATAGTATCGGCCGAATCTGAATATGCTTGAAAAAAAGATAGTCAGTGACTGAGTACTGTTTTACGCCGCCATTAGAACTATTTCGACCATATCAATCCAATACCAGAAGTCGATTTCCAACAGTGTAATCTTGTGGGGACTTAGTGTGATGTGCTAACGCGTTGGCCACTAATGATGATGACTAGGTCAGCGATACTTATGATTCTGTATAGAATGGGTATAGCCCCTCTGAAACACAGGTTCAAGGACGCGTTGTCCTTTGGTCGTCCGTCCATTGCCCGTCCGTCGGCCGGCGTATTATAAGCACCCTCGAAGTGTCCGAATGCTCTGCTTGTCCGGACACTTCATGCGGAGATTTCTAAGCACTGATTGTGATTTACGAGACTGGGTCACGGTGAATGACCTCTGGCCACGGGTTCGAAAACCGTTTAGAACGTATATTGAAGCAAAGGCAGATTATGAGCATAATGATAACGGCTTTAAAACACATTAGCGTCTCCGGACTCGCAGAGGTAACCTTTAGAACGCCGAGATTCAGCTAGTTGGGCGAAGAGTATGCACTGGTGTGACTATCATTGAAAGAAAACGCTGCTCATGCAGTTAAAATGAATACGAACTGGTGAGGTGAGGTGAAATGGTCTTTAACGTCGCGTTCAAGATTATTGCGCTTATATAGCGACGTGTATGTATGTGTGTGTGTTTGTGTGGCTGCCTGTACTAGTCCGGACTGATAACGATTTGTTTAGTGCTAGCCCAATGAGATACCATGCCGCAGACAGGGTAACAACAAGTATAATCTTTGAACGCCATTTGGTATGACGCGGCCGGGGATCGAACCCCGGACCTTCCGCTCTCCGGGTGGACGCTCTACCACTAGACCACGGAGGCGGTCTGAATACAAACTGGGATCAGGATAAATCATCATTGGTTAAAATATACATCTGGCCAGTCACCGTCTTATAAAAAACATACAAGTTCGGACGTCATGACGCCATAATGTTTGATGTGACGTTACTCTCTTGTCAGTTCACAATTGACCCTGTTCGCACTTCCTGTTCGCACGACCCTTGATCTTGACAATGGAAATAATGAAAATAACAATTAACGAGAGTTTTGTCCCAAATCACAAATATAACATTTGTTAGCGTTTTATTACTAACATCCCGTTTGGGTAATGAAACACCAGCTACCCCCGGCCCCGTTCAACATAATAAATGGCTGTCAGGGATTAATCCGCTGATTAAGCAACTGAAGGCATCTTCAGTGCTGTTACTAAGGTGACATAAGTTATGGACACGGTACTCAAATGGATGAGCAGACAGAAAAAAGACGTAATACATTAAAACATTCCGAGGAAGAAGCAGGCAAACTAGGCGTCGGCCCGATCATTATGATCGTTGAAATTGCGCAGCGCGTAAAAAAACGGCACCCGTTTTAACACCAGTTAGGGAATCCCCTCAGCGAAGGAATTTTTCGTTTGGGGGGCAATTTCGCCTATTTTCGGTTATTTTTTTTAAATTGAATTTTTGTCAAGCATTTGTGATTAAGTTTCCCCAAAAGTATTAAAATCTGGAAAGTTGCTATGTTGATTCTACTTGCCCGTAAATTACATCATGATGATGATGATGATGATGATGATTGCATGGCCTTAGAGCGTACGTCAAACAAGCCAATATATGAATTTCAGTGTTAGACTACTTGTTCCGGTTCCAAAGAAATGTGTTGGTGTCTACTTACCTATGACCTTCGAAAGAATGGTCATGGACCTATCAGAAAGGTTGGGGCAGCAGTATGGCTTGATGAGGTCGCAGGGAATGATGGCGCCCAGAGCGTTCATGGAGGAGGATATGGTGCTGAGGAGGGAAAGAGGAAGAAATGATGGCACATGAAGTAATGTAATGATTGAACGAGGACAATTGTGTACATGTATATTGAAGTTTCAAATCACATCTGATTAATCTTGTCCATTGTTAGATTGACATTATGCCGATGTGTCACTACTCACTCATTGAGAGAATATCATTGATCACGTGTGTGGCGTTCTCTAGAAATACAACATAAACAAGAAGATGCTATTTTTGAATATAATGCACTCGATGGTAAACAACAGTCATCAGTTCTTAGTTACAAACGACAATACAAGTCATCAATCTACACAATTTGCTCCTACTCCACCTTCTCTTCCCGACCGCCTCCGTGGTCTAGTGGTAGAGCGTCCGCCCGGAGAGCGGAAGGTCAGGGGTTCGAAAGACGTTAAAAGATGGTACTTGTTGTTACCCTGTCTGGCGCTCGGCATTGAGGGGCTAAAACAAGCACTGGTTGGCTCGGAGTCAGTATACTGTGTCTGAGTGGGATATTCATGTTAAACTGCGGCATGGTATCTCAGTGAGCGTGCACTATAAATCGGCATCAGTCTGGACAAGTACAAGCAGCCACACACACACACACACACACACACACACACACACACACACACACACGCACGTGCATGCACGTCGCTATATAAGTGCAATAATCCTGGACGCGACGTTAAACCCAAATTCACCTCTCCTCACCTTCTCGTCCCCTCAATACATACAAATGTGATCCTGGCTAGAGGCATAGGGTCATGTGCGGCTCAGCTCCAAGTAAGTGAAGTTATAGGATGACGAGTTGGCCACTGAAGCACGACAGTGTGAATGTGTGCAGTAGTTTTGACAGCCTGACTTTGATTTTTCTTAGAGTTAACATTAGGGTGCTTTGTGTCAGCCGAGAGGTGCCCTATGTGCAGAGGCAAGGCACATGCAGTTGGCCCAACTGACGATCGCGATATTTCTCCTGATAGTGCAATCCTATCATGTAGGAAGGGTGGCTGAAACGTTCTGAACCTAACTATGATGGATGGAATTGGTTGCTGATTTAATCACTTTCTTCCCTCTTGAACACCGCTACCCACTCCTCAACATCATTCTCTGAAGTTGAAATTATGACCACATGGAGGTCTGCTAGAGCAATTTCAGTTGGAGATACTTGATGACAGTGCGGAGTCAAGTTTGTCTATTTTCATGTGCTAACTTAACTTGTGCGAATCTGTGATTCCATGATCATAAGTTTCTGGCAGGCCTGAGGGACGCACCACAGTGATTGGACCACCCGTGATTAAAGAGAGAAATGTTTATTTCTGTGTCACAAGCACAAGCCGTCATGGTAAAAACTTTTAACATAATATGTGTTCAATACAAAAGCTTGTACATCCAGCCTTATTAGGGTTATGAGACACATTAAAATGCAAGTGTATCCATGGTGAAATAATTATAATAATAATATAAAAAATAATTTAAAAATAATAATAAATAAATAAATAGATATATATATATAATCATAAAAAAATTGATAAATTAAATATCATCTGAGCTGCCTAAAAAAATTTAAATCATTATATCCCGTGAATACTTCGGTCTAGCCTGTACATGCAACAGTGACATTAATTATGAATTATGAAAAGTCGGAATACAATGAATCACCTCAAACTTCCGCTGAAGATGCACGACACAAACACTCCAGGTATTCCGGGAATATGGCCCAAGATGTCCATTACATATAAGGGCAGGAGCTGAATATACAAATTATACAATTAAGCCAGAACGTATTATGTTAAATGTATCATTTTGATTTAAACATTTTGTAATTTAATGTGACACTGCTTATTTAAAAAATAATAACTGTGTGTTTGCGTTATAAATATACACTCAGCCTTTCTCACCACTGACTTTCAGTGATCCATTCCTATTATTTTCACCGCTAATCTGCCTTTTACTCCCAATGGCATGAGTTTAGTCAGATAAATGAGATAAACGATTATACTCTCGTGTTGACCTTATATATTTCAATACATGACATCTCTAAGGAAAGTGTTCTATCGTGAGCGTACATTCTCATAAATCTATCTATTTTGCCCTAACGTGATGTATAGCGTTGGTTCAAAATAGTGTTGATCATATGAATAACCAGCCAAACTGAATAACCCAGCGAGTGAAATATGCCTGCGACTCACGTCCAACTCTGAATCATAATCACATCTAAATGTAAATGTGTCTGTAGCATTGACATGACTGTAACTGGATTATGGATATTTGATGAACAGTTTCATTTGCGTCGCACTAAGTGACTGAAACTATCAAAAAGAGCATTGTGGCACATTGAGCGTCGTTGAGACGTTTGCATAAGATATCAAACAGCGTTATCATTGAATGTTTCAATGTTGTTGAACTAGCTTCTAACTGCCTTCCCATGCTTCTGAATAAGGACATTTGCACGTGGAGGTTGGTGACATATGTGGGTTTTAAATACAACTGACTGTCGTTAACCCCGAGCTGTGGCAATGAAAGTGAAACGTGGTGGTAGCCATTTTATAGAATTAAACAAATCGGATATAATACTAGTATGTCGAGGTTAAGAGTTGACATATTACCAGTGCGTGGATATGAATAGTTGACATATTACCGATGTGTGGAGATGCATGCTTGACATATCACAAGCTAGTCTGTAGAGATATAGTGTAACCAGCTAGTCGAGATAAAGATCTGGTACATTAAATTATCAGCGTGTTGAGATAAAGATCTGGCATATTAAATAACCATAGTGTGGAGATGAAGATCTGACATATTAAATTACCAGTGTGTTGAGAAAATGATCTGGCATATTAAATTACCAGTGTGTGGAGATAAGAATCTGGCATATTAAATTACCAGCGTGTGGAGATAAAGATCTTGCATATTAAATTACCAGCGTGTGGAGATAAAGATCTGGCATATAAAATTACCATCGTGTGGAGATAAAGATCTGGCATAATAAATTACCAGTGTGTTGAGAAAAGGTCTGGCAAATTAAATTACCAGTGTGTCGAGATAAAGATCTGGCATATTAAATAACCATCGTGTGGAGATGAAGATCTGGCATATTAAATTACCAGTGTGTCGAGATAAGAATCTGGCATATTTAATTACCAGCGTGTGGAGATAAAGATCTGGCATATTAAATCACCAGCGTGTGGAGATAAAGATCTGGCATATTAAATTATCAGCGGGTGGGGATAAACATCTGACATATTAAATTACCAGTGTGTGGAGATAAAGATCTGGCATATTAAATTACCATCGTGTGGAGATAAAGATCTGGCATATTAAATTACCAGTGTGTTGAGATAAAGATCTAGCATATTAAATTACCAGTGTGTGGAGATAAGGATCTGGCATATTTAATTGCCAGTGTGTCGAGATAAAGATCTGTCATAATAATTTACCAATGTGTCGAGATAAAGAGCTAGCATATTAAATTACTAGTGTGTCGAGATAAAGATCTGACATATTATATTACCAGTGTGTCGAGATAAAGATCTGGCATATTACCAGAGCGAGGAGATAAAGTGTTGACAAATTACCACTGAGCTACAGAAGAGGCTAAAGGAAGACATTTACCAGTGTGACTGGGTAAGGGTGTTTCAGGTTATGTTCCTTCTTGTTTGATTGTACTATTTGTTAAACTCCAAACTTGCCCTACCTGATCTGACTTGCTGATTAGGTTGTTGAACTTGATGGGGTGGCAGTCGGCGTAGAAGGCGTACATGACGATGCCAATCATGCAGCAGAGGCTGACTATGAGGATGAGGCCAGGCAGGTTTACAAATAATATCCTTAGAAAGCAAGGAAACATTACGATCACTAATCGATAATTTACATTTAAAGAGACATATTGCACATATCCACAGATCACTTTGTTATTGCATTTTGGAGGGGATTATATTAGATCTCAGCTATTAGCAGATATTTTCTATGATTTTAAAAAGGGTCTTGTTGATTTTACATACACCCACAAGTCGATCTAATAAATTGTTTACATTGCATTCTGAAGCACAGTTCATCGCTTTTAACATCATATTCATGCAGATATTTTAAGTTTAACTGACTCGTCAATGTTGAATAATACATGTATTATTTTCAAGCCTTTAACTTTACACATTTTAACGTATTTATTCAATGGATTCATGGTCATAACGTGGGTGTTATCTTTGCTTGATATCTCGTAAATGAAGTTCAGAGTGACAAACAAATATCCACCAGATTTTCCCTTTGTGTCGAGCAATATTCCAGCAGCTCCAGCATTTGGTGTCCACATTTTACAACTTTTGAAGTACACTCGAGCATGCTCTTTCTACGTACATACCAAAGCGCGCCATACGACAGTTGATCAAATGCGCCTACTGATTAAGAGTTGTTTCATCAGAATTACTCCATTCATGGTCTTAGTAAAGCTTTTATGGTAGCCACGAGGAGGGCATTTCCTAATTTGAAACATCAGTAACCATGTTCAGGGTAATTCCTTATTTTGATTTGTACAGTATGTTCCCGTGTGTTTCTTATCAGGTGAACAATTGACTTGCCTTTGTGCCAGTGATGGGACAGGATACGCTCACCATTTAGGAAAACCTGGTGTCGTCACTGTTTAATAAACTTATGATATAATCGGAATCCCACAATGGGCTTTTAATTATTAAAAAAAACGGGTGCCTTCTATTTTGGCACCATTTCAATTGGGAAATAATAAACAATAATAATAGGTATAATCTGAGCATGTACTTATATGTATATAATTGTACTTATACAGGTATATATATGACACACACACACACACACACACGCACACACGCACGCGCGCGCTTTCATCATGTACATTGAGTATTACATCATACTCACATCTTGGCTTTAAATACAGACGGACAAGACAAGGCTCTTTGGACTTGAGCCTGGTTAACTCCATACAGTGATATCCAGAGAAAGGACCCGCCCACAACAACCGACCAGAAAGAGTGGCGGGTAGTGGGGTCAAAGCTGAAGCTGCAACAAAGACAATACACGAGATGAGGAGGAGCTCGGTTTAATTATCCAAACAACTGGTTATGATCATGGGAAGAGTGATGTCGTTCCATCAACCATACGTACTCATTGAAGTAAATTCTTGATCTATTCCCGGCGATGTCCCAGGCGTTCTGGAAGCCACCCATGACGATGGAACCCTGGATGAGAACAGCCAACAACCCCGCTAATATGACAAAAGCCTGGAAGGTGTCTGTCCACAACACAGCCTTCATTCCCCCCTGAAACACAGAGATGAATGATGAAGTAGATGTGACAGAACCGCAGCTGGCATTAAGGAATGTCGTTTTGTCAGTACCATAAATCTACACAAATTGGTCTTTCCGATTAATATAATATTTATGTGCATATTGATAATGTTCCAAATCAATCCACCATGTGTAGCATGTGTTTCAGTTTGAGGCGCACCTAGAAGCCCTAGAAACTCTCAGGAAACATTCTGCCCACCCAACTTCTCTCCACGACCAACGTGCCTGACTTCGCCTGATTTGTGGCCTGGTTGCTGTACACATGCCACAACAATACCAGAAGTCAGCTTTACACATTGTACCCATGTTGGGAATCGAACCCAGGTCTTTTGCGTGACCAGCGAACGCTTTAACCACTAAGCTACTCGATTGCCCTAATCACACAAAGAGTCACTGTGGGTTTGGTTTGACATTCCTTTGAAAGTAATACTGAGGTATGTCTGCCTTGTGTCAGGGCTTACGTCGCAGTATCAGGATACCGGGATTTGTCTTCACACATTGTACCCATGAGGGGACTCGAACCACGGCCTTCGCTCTAACTACCAGACGCTCTTCCTCCCACATTAAGGTGACATGATGTGATATAACTGAAAGATCAAAGTCACTCATTCACGGTGAATTGTAATGGTTCTAATGGTATAAAATAATTATCAAACAATAAATTGTGTTTCATATATCAATAAATGGTAATATGTTGTTGTTACAAATGAAATAACTTCTTTGATAGGCATTTAGAATTTGGAGTACTAAGTAAGGATAAGATTTATGGATGAACAACTTCTTTATTACATCCTGTTGTCTATATTACTGTCTTTACACTTTTGTTTATGTTACTGACTTCGCCGGTAATGTCTTAACTGCCCCCTTTTGTGAACAAATAGGCTTCTCCAATCCAGTATAAGTACATCTGCTATCTACTCTACTGGGTAAACATTGCCTCCTACCTGTATATATACTTGTCAACCATACTCTGTATATCACTTGTTCGATAACGGTGTTGGAACCTACACCAAAACGTCTCTCTTAATTGTAATAAAGAAGTTGTTCATCCATAAATCTTATCCTTACTTACAAATGGAATGAAATTTTTTTTTTTCCGATCAAGATGTCTATAACAAACTTGGAACTGCATATGATGCCCATTTCACCCACCAAATTTCAGATCTCTGGCGCTTGGAGAAGAGGGCGGTCGGGTAGCCTAGTGGTTAAAGCGTTAGCTCGTCACGCCGAAGACCCGGGTTCGATTCCCGACATGGGTACAATGTGTGAAGCCCATTTCTGGTGTCCCCCGCCGTGATATTGCTGGAATATTGCTAAAAACGGCATAAAGACCATACGCACTCACTCACTCACTAACTCTTGGAGAAGATTTTTTAATCTAGTTTTCCAAATTAAAGATGGCTATCTGGCGTCCAAATTTAATTTCCAATGTTGATGACTTGAACAAAGCCCCTTACAGTAACAAACATCCACACACAATTTCAGCTGAAGCCATCAAGCAGTTTCGGAGAAGACTGGTTGTGGACGATGACGATGGACGTCTTGTGCCGACAAAAGCTTACATTGTCCTTCCGGCTAGGTGAGCTAAAGCGTCCATCTCCAAGATCATAACTCCAACTTTAAGCTGACATGATGTGATAAAACTGAAAGACCAAAGTCACTCATTCACGATGAATTGTAATGGTTCTGATAGTATATCCTATAGGGCCATGCATACATGCTGGTCAATGTGAATAGGCAGACAAATTACATCTCATGCATCACTATATTATAGGGCTGTCACTATGTTAACAACGCAAACAAAACATGAGTTACCAGAGCTGTATATAGCGTCACAATGATTCCAACAGCCACCACTGATCCCCATAGATCCAGTCCAGTCACTTAAAGAAAATCAACACAGCGTCAACACATATGTTCGAACGGGTCAACTCACGCTGCAATGTATGATTAAATTAATCCACATGGCACGGGAACAAGCATGGGTAATTAGTTCGTATATTAATAGCGAATGTTGTTCAGTAATGAAGTGTTTCAATTGGTTTATTTAATTTTGTGAATGCTCTTACTTTCAACAACCATCAATAGATTCAGTAATTTACGAAACGAAGCTCTCTTTTAACCACGTTATTAATTGAGTTTTATTTTTAATTAATTTGGTTCGGTTATTTCTTATTTTAACCTTAAACGACTTTACGAGACCTTTCGCAGTCAAAAGGAAAAACATACCTGCATTTAGAGCCAGTGATGGGGCGTAGAGGACGAACGACATATACGCACTCTGTAAATGCAGTCACATTGAAACAATATTGCACTGAATCCAGTAGGAAGGAAACGGAAAGATTTAAACAGTGTATACTCCATACGACATTTATATATCATATATTATTATATATTCCAACACTGATCAGTGCTATAAACCAAGTAAAATGTTATGTCGAAGACATAAGAATCATTTGCAGCATCACGTTATCAAGTGTCTTATATATCTAAATCGTAGAAATCGTAGAGGAATTCTGTGCTTAGTTAATAGTGAAATATTGGAGCTGGTGACGTCACTTCCGAAATGAAGGTATGGTGGCGAATAGGTCCAGGTATACATCACAACAGAATGAAGATATGCTGCACTGGGTAATCAAGAAAAGTTTTCACGTGGTAACCTGCATTTTCACTGTAAAATGTGTGCCATCACATGTATCATCGTGGATCGATGCTCATGATATTAACCACTGGATTGTCTGGTCCAGACTCGGTTATTTACAAACCGCGGTCATATAGCTGGACTATTGCTGAGTGCGGCGTTAAACAACCAACCAACCAACCAACCTAGTTGTAGTGTGGCTTAAATGGACTGTGGACTTACAGTTTGCACAATGTAGATCAGGGAGGCGAGAACACGGACAGGCTTGCTGAAACGCAGCTCTAGATACTGAAGAGAACAGAAAAAAATCATTCGTTATGATTCCCAAACCAGAGTGTACTCTCTTGCGTATTTGTGTTATGACATGAACCAACATATTTCTGTAGGGTATGTGTTGTTAATATTTAAATTTCAATTATGTTGTTCATGTACAATGGTTCTGTGACGATACTGTAACTGAAGATGTATGATCAGACCATCAACTAGTTATACAAAGAGGAGAAGTGTTTTTTTTAAAGTACCGAGATCTGTTAGTCGATTTACGTCACTGTAAGCGCAAAAGTATCTTACTGTGCGCATAAAAGGAGATCAAAGTACCTTAATGTACGTATAAAAGGAGATCAAGGTACCTTACTGTACGTATCAAATGAAATCAACATACCTTACTGTACGTATAACAGGAGATCAACGTACCTTACTGTAAGTATAACAGGAGATCAAAGTACCTTACTGTAAGTATAACAGGAGATCAAAGTACCTTACTGTACGTATAACAGGAGATCAACGTACCTTACTGTACGTATAACAGGAGATCAAAGTACCTTACTGTAAGTATAACAGGAGATCAAAGTACCTTACTGTACGTATAACAGGAGATCAACGTACCTTACTGTACGTTTAACAGGAGATCAACGTACCTTACTGTAAGTATAACAGGTGATCAAAGTATCTTATACTGTACGTATAAAATGAGATCAACGTACCTTACTGTACTTATAAAATGAGACCAACCTACCTTACTGTATGTATAAAATGAGATCAACATACCTTACTGTGCGCATAAAATGAGATCAACCTACCTTACTGTAATGGACATCAATGAAGTACCCTACATCAGGACAGAGTCGTAATGTGTACTTTTGAATTTATGTTAAGGTAAATGGTCACGTATTTTTTTATGGATTGGTTTGTTTATAGATTATTTTGATACATTCGTTGGTTTGTTGGCGGTCTGTAAATAATCGAAACTGGAGCAGACAGTCGAGTGATTGACATCACGAGCATCGATCTACGCAATTTTATGACACGATGACATGCATGAACAAAGTTGCCTCTTACGACAAGCATATGTGACCTGTTTGCAGTAGCCCGTGAAGATCCGGGGTAGAATAGGTCGTAACAGGCGACTATGCTTGTCGTATTCCAATTGCGTGTCGATGCTGGATTGTCTGGTCAAGACTCGATTATTTACAGACCGCCGTCATATAGATGGACTATTGCTGAGTCCGGTGGTAAACAGCACACAAACAAGCAAATCGATTCACTTCCGGGACCAACTCCTTGATTCGTGATACTTTGCGAGGTACTAGTTCCCAGAAGGCTGGTTGTACCTATACCGAGTACATTTACTTTGTTATATATTATTGCTGCCACATATTTGACCCATTTAATGCCTTTTTAATGATTGTATAGTGCAACACGTTCCTTTTTAATTCTGGAGTGGAAGAGTGGGTGAGTGGGTGTTTAACGCCGCTTGTAACATTATTACAGTTATAATGCGGCGTGTTAGCTTAGTGTGGGAGGAAAGCCCGAAGTGATGCAGGTCTCAGACGTTTACCACTTCGGTGAAACCTGAATATCTCACATTCCAACGAAATCTCGAAATTATTTTTTTAATATAAGCGGGGTCGAACTGACCAATGGGAATTATGTTTAAAGGCGATTGAGAAAAACTTGAGTGAATGTTGTGACACGAAAGCAACTTTTAAATGCATTGCAGACTCTTGGTATGAAAAAAAGGGAACAACAGCCTTCTTATGATAATTCCCATATTCTCATTAATACGTTGTATCTAATAAAACATAATATGTGTTTCAATATAAACTGTTAATTATTCAATATTAGTGTATGTGCTGATTTCACAATTTTGTTTGTGCACACCGATGTCTTGGTTATCCTTCGCGTTTCAACTTGGAAAACAACACGAACAAAATATACTCTGTGGCAACTTGAATTTGCATCAGGAATGTTGCTTGTTGATAACACAAAATATGTAAGATAATGATGACTTTATATAGACGTCGTGCTCTCCTTTTGTGAATTTAAAAGAGGCTTAATTCAGTCTGGGCCCACGCTATGATGCATGCTTGGTGGAAACAAAACTAATTTCTCTTTAATCTAATATAAACAATAAATAACCTCTATCTGTACTACCATTATGTCGTATGTTCAATTAATTATTGGACAGTTAACTCACCTGAAATACACTTGTCACATTCAGATTATAGAAGAATGGAATGAATACAACTGAGGCAATGACCATTGCAAAAACAAATGCAAGGCATGACCACCAAAACATCGTCGTGAAGTTGTACATCTCAGCCGGCGTCCCCAGCAACGTCAATGCAGAGAGAAATGTCACCAGCATCGACATCGCCACGGGAAACACGTACATATCTTTACCGCCCAAAAGGTAATTTTTAGAATTAACTTTGTTTTTATCTTTGATGGCATAGAAAAGTCCGATTCCAGCCGATACTCCCAAGGTGAGACTCAAAAGAACATAGTCGAGGATAGCAAATGTCTTCTTCTGTCCAGTGTTGATGCTGTAGTCCTCAGACATGATGGAAGGTCAGTGTTGTCCACGCTGGTCCTGGAGTGACAAAATACGCACGGAGAAACAGTTTACGCTCACCCTCTCCCGTATAGTACAGTCGGTTGTGGACTCTACCTTTGTGAGTCTTTCCCGGTCACGATGAGTTCTTGTGAATAGGAGATATATTTCTATGAGTACACAGTCGAAGAAGGTCACCGTTCTCTTTGAGGTGAAGGTGCACATTTCAGTGGAAGTGGGAGAGCCTTTGGTTTTCTACTACACATGTATATCACATGACTATTAAAGAACATGAATGTGGGATCAATGCACAAAGCTGTATGCAATTTCAAACATGGATATTTGTTGAGAAACTTTGTGAGATATCACCCAACAATTATTCCGATTCCGATTAGAAACTACACATTATCCTGTTCCGAATGGCATTTACAGTTATGACGTCCATGCTCCTTTAAAACCTCTGAGGAAAGTTTAACCTACGCACAAAGTGAACACACTTCAGTTCCTTGCCACTCACAACCTGTGCACAAATCGAACATACTTACCATTCCACGGTAAACCTACGCACAAAGTAAATACACTTCAGGAATAGTACCACTCAAAAGGTGCGCTCGAAGTAAACACCGATACAGTAACTCGCAAAACCTACATACATATTCTCCTCACAGGAGTTTCGAGCTGTGTCACATGTGTTCCCAATACCAGAAATACCATAGATATAAAAAAAACACACCTTCAAAACAATTAATTCCAATATTCGAGGAAAAAGCACCTCATGAACTGTCAATAACATCAAAATATAATAGATTTAAAATTACACCCCAAAACATTTGAAAATGCGAACAAAAGATGGTAAATGTCAGTAACATCATAAAAATCTCCCATAATATAATCCACCAATTACTTCTATCGGAATCAATATTGATGAAGTACATACATTTTTCTTTCAGTCTTACATCCCTTTATTCCCACTGTTGATGTAGAATGTCAGATCAGACCTGTTGACTCTTTGCGATATTTGTACGACGTAATAATACATTGGTATTATAGCCTTGCCTTATTTAGAAATTGCGTTGACTAGGAGTGCCAGAATCCTACGACAGTGTGTACGATTCACCTTCACTGTCGTACCTGGTGTAAGGTTTCACCAAACTCGTACGCGTACTGAAACTGAATCACAGATTCTAACTGAACGCGTTCGGTTCGAAATATTATACTCTGATTCTATTCTCTCACAATACTTGTTTTATGTTCCTTGGAATCTGCAATTTTACCCTAACGTCAAGCATAAGAGAGTCATACCAAATGAAGGCAATTTCCATGATTCGGTTTACTTCGTTGTTGCCCCTAAGTTCCAAATTACGCCGTGAATAGTGTCATGGAGCTAGCTGCACTTAGATAACCTTTATGGCAACAATAACCAACGGTTAGGCAGTCAACCCCAAGTATCGATGCCCTATACAAAATCAGTTGGTTATTATACCGCGGCCTGTACACTTAGCGACATCGAATGGGAGACTTAGAGTTGGATGTAACTATCGGTCATCATCTCCAGCGGCCAGTGTACCCCTTCTGGCCAGATGGATTTTACTCTATAATCAACATCAGACTACATAGGACCAGAAAGAAAATATCCCTGACCACTGCGGTTCGATGACATGCACTGTTTCACTAGACAGCTTTTTACTTGCCTGAAACTGATCACAAGGCATAACGGATCAAACTGTTATGTAGATCCCTTATGTGATAGACTTGAGTATTACATATCGTGTTCAACACAGACAGTATCAAAACGAAACTGATCAACCATCTGCACAGTATATTGTCAGCCACATTCAAATCGGGCGAAAATACTGAAATATGAAATTTGGTATAAGACTTGTTTCAGTTGAGAAAGACAACACCGGATACAAATAAATCTAACTTAACCTCCACGCGATATAAGGCTTTTACGTATAACTGTAATTTTATTACATTTAGTTGTACATAGAGTAAAAATATTAATTCTCTCTTAATAACTCATGACATGTAAAACATATTACCGAGGTACCCGTGACGTTTTATAGATCCAAGAACAAAATAATAACTAAATGTAATATCATAATGTTCCTAATCCACCCTCTTTTTGAAATTCATTATCACAGTCCGGTGGACAAAATGTAATTGATTTCTAAAAGATTTCGTTAAGGCAACGCCGTCTCTTTTGCCCTGTGCATTTGTAAACTATTTATGGCTCAAGTGAATATGTTTTGTGAATATTATATGTCCGTTTCAATCACCTATATCAGACGTGACACGTATGAACGAAAGTGGTAAATACATGTTAACTCGCCCGAGGGTATAAATAGTTTATGGTTATACCATCACTGGTGTATCCACCAGTAGACCAACTGTATCGTTCTTGAGACCCCTCGGAGTTCTGTGTCGGTGAACTGTCCGATACATCTCGACAAACAGGGAAGCATTATTTATTTTTCACATTATTCAATATAACAACACGCACGTGTTTGAATTATCTCGGTGAGTACAGACATACACATACATTTTGCATTAAATACACACGTAGGATGAACACATGTTAACTTTCTTTTCAACTTTGTAGAGGATTTCCGCAGTTGATCGGAGTGAGGCATGTCAACGTTTGTAACGTATCATCTTAAACCTTCGGTAATCTTAAGACGTTCCTTGAGGAATACGCCAGATGCATGTTTTCAGTTGGTAGTAAAGTAATGATTATATTTTTTGTACTGATGTATATTATGATTTGATAAAAATGAAAAAAAAAAAATAGAAATATGATATCCCTATTCCTGTGACAGGTTTGGCTGCGTTGACAGCGTTAACATGCATGACCATATCGTGATCAAATATAAACGACTGTCACATGTTTGACATCTTGTCACATATGGGTTTAGTTTTTTTCACACGTTTCCTATATATTCATACAAATACAACAAGAATTTAAACGGTCACTAACCAAGTATGCACAATATAGAAAATAACTATTTACAACTAACATCAAAATACTTAATATCATAATTACAAGTCATGCATTCAAGACACTGTGAGTATACATCCATTATCAAACCGACGTTGTTATTTTTATTGTCAGCCAATGATAATATATGAAGATCAATCAATGAACATGCATATTTACTGAACGGAGACCAGTGAAGATCCGGGGTAGAAAAGGTCTTCAGCAACCCATGCTTGTCGTTAAAGGCGTTTATGCTTCCCGTAAAAGGCGACTTACGGGATCGGGTGGTCAGGCTCGCTGACTTGGTTGATGCATGTCATCGATCCCAATTGCGTGGGACGATGATCATGATGTCAATCACTGGATTGTCTGGTCAAGACTCGATTATTTACAGACCGCCGTCATATGGCTTGAATATTGTTGAGTGCGGCGTTAAACAACAAACCAACCAACCAACCTTCGTAACTAAATAGAAAACCTACGGCCCATGTATCTATTGAGGCTTTTGCCTTCTATTGAAGCCCCATCTTCTCCATGGCAATAAAGGAAAAAGGAGATTGGTTATGAGCTACATGCAATGTATCCTTGAACCATGAGCTCTATCTTTCAATGAGCATTCAATTGTTTCAAGTTTTGTTACGAAAGCTAAACGAAGAATGTCTATATTTATTTACCTGTTTAATGCCTGTGTGTAACACATCAACTTGTTCGTTGTATATTTCTGATATAATTGATGCATTTTATTGTTTGTAATTATGCCCCAAATAATAAATTTTGTGTTTCATATATCTATAAATGGTTTTAGTAATATTTTGTTGTTACAAAAAATGTTTTAAATAGATTTTGAATGAGTCTTTATAAATCTAAGCTGACAAAAGGCAGCCATGCGTGATTTCCGATCAAGATGTCTATAACAAACACCCACCAACTTTTAGATCTTGGAGAACACTTTTAAATAAATATTGTTTTCCAAATCAAAGATGGCTGTTTGGCGGCCATATATAATTTCCAATGTTCATGCCTTGAACAAAGCCCCTCATAGTAACATACATCCACACACAAAGCCATCTATATGGACGATGACTATGGACGTCTTGTGCCGACAGAAGCTCACATTGTCTTTCAGGCCAGGTGAGCTAAAGTGTCCATCTTCAAGATCATAGACAAGTCAAGTGAAACAAAATATTACAAAAAGAAAGCTGTGGTAGCACACGGAGACCACAAACCGTTTTAACAGAAAAATATAAAGGAAATCAACGAAAGGTCTTTCAAAAATCATGTTTCCTAATTATGGAAACAACTCAATATCCTTATGCGCCGGTACGTTTTGTTTCGTCAGGTCCACAGCAGAGTCAATGAGCCTTTGTATCAGTATTATTTCAAATGTGCGTCAAGTTTGTGAATGTCCTCTACATGTCTACCATTAAACCTTTACTGAGCTGTTGAAATATTGGTCATCATAAAGGAAAGGTTAAATTTGAAGTCATCCTTACTTGTCATACAGTCTAGTGGATAGAAAATCGTGTACAGAATACGGTGTATGGCCACGACTTTGAATACACTACTTGCTTGTGTCAATTCATATACAACACAAGATGGGTCTAACTTTTTCTTAGAGTATTCAAGCCCTAAGCCTACTTACGGCGACTACCGCCTTTTGTAGGAAGAGTATTCAGCCACTCGTACACGTCTAGTTCTTACAAATACAGTGTATTGTGACACATTCAGTCAAGTAGATCTTACTAATACAGTCTCTATATTGTATATATTTTTACTTCATATATCATTCGCGACAAATAGACTGAGAAACAGTTGCTCACAATGTCTGGAGACTACAGTATCTACACTGGGAAGAAAAAGACATTTTCAGTCCCTGACTATGTCGTCTTCGGCCTTACTTTGGTCACATCGGCAGGGATTGGACTCTTCTACGCCATCAGGGACAGAAACAGATCTTCCTCCGATGAATACCTCATGGGAGGCAGAAAAATGTACACACTACCTGTAGCGATGTCTTTAACGGCAACGTTTATGTCTGCGTTGACGTTGTTGGGGGCACCGGCTGAGATGTATATCTATGCTACTATGTTTTGGTGGATATGTTTGGCTTTCATTATTGCCATCGCAATTTCGTCCCAGATTTTCATTCCATTCTTTTACAAGCTTAACCTGACAAGCATGTTTGAGGTAAGTCTCAATGAAGGAATCTGCTGTGTGACACGCATTAAACATCGTGAATGCATGAATGTTGTTTTGTACCACAGTCATATATACATAATCTGTTTGAATGCAAGTCTGTGTGCTGAAAGGCATGAAGTCTCTGTGAAATCCGTTATTGTAAAACGCAAACATCTATACAATACTTTGTTAGATCACACAAAAGACTTTTCACAAACTGGTGGTAGTTATAAATAACTTGTTTTCATATACCAATGTGTATTATACGCCATGTTCCCAGCTATCGTCTTTACTTTTGATGTTCAGCGTGCAAAGAGATTCGTCTTTTGGCATAATATTGCGTGATATTGTATTTCGTCAACTCACATGCTCACCAAATGCATTGCTTCAATGGTCGATATCATAGATTTCTAAACACATTTGTACAATGATAACAATGGGTTTAATGGTTCACGTTTAGACACATGACAACCATTTTTAATAATCCCAAGCTTAATTCGTCATTTGGAAGATAACATATATGTTGACAGAATAGTTTCTTTCTTGCCTCAAATGCTACTCTCTATGATATTTATTTCATTGTGCACTCACATGTATGTTTTCTTCAATTGTAGTATTTAGAGCTGCGATTCAGCAAACCAGTCCGCGTTATCGCCTCCATCACTTTCATCGTTCAGACAGTATGTAAACTGCGTAAAGTATTATTGTCGGACATCATTAAAGAAAAATAGAACGACGTGCATTGATACATAATTTCAATTGACCAGTAAACGTTAATAAACCGTCTTTTTTATAGTTTATTTAACATTTCATGAAATGGTCATAAACTGGATTAACATGTCATTTATGCTTATCAAGATGTGCAATACATATTTTAACTGTAATTAGGAACACAGTGTTAATGAAATACGCATTATAACGGTTGTGTTTCGTTTCAGATTGTATACATGTCCTTTGTTTTGTATGCACCTTCCCTCGCACTGAATCAAGGTACGTTTGCAGCACACACACAGTTGATGTAACAGTATACAAACCGGCATCAAAGGAGATAAAAGTGTTTTCTTTCTAACTACTGAACCGAAACAGTTCCCTGACTACGGTATAAAGTTATATAATTGAATGCGATCTCGAGCTGTGTGCACTGGTCGACAGTGCGCAGGGCGAAGTTATATGTCGGTAGTATCAATATGTTGGAACACGACTGTCATGCCATGTCAAGCGGTGTGTGAAGGTTCGAATCCAAGTAACGGTATATTTTTAAGAACCGTTAATGCAGGTTAATGTTTAGTAAATGTTAATGTTAATGTTATAATTTTATGGGGTTAGGGGGCTGTAACAACGTACCTGGTCACTGGTATGTTTGTTGAGATTTGTTTAGGGAAGGTTAGTAAAGCTTTGAATTTGACACATATACCGGTGAATCTATGCAAACACATTATGCGATTTAAACAAGTCGGTTAACATAGGTCAATAGAGATTTTAATTATAAACCAAACTGTAACCTCCAAACAATGACTTCTTAGGAAACTCCAGGGCGCTTTTAAGAATGTCCAATAGTACTTGTACATCCTATTTTCAAATTGGCAAGAACTAAATGCGTATTTTATATGTAGTGTTTGTATCTTCTTGGCGTAGACTAAAATATTTGAAATACGTCATGACTGTTTTGAATGTTCTAACTCTGTGGGATTCCGGGTCAAAATAGTCCCCCAGTTCCTCGTACCTGTCGCAAGAGCCGACTCAAAAGCTTTTGTTTGTTTGTTTGTTTGCTTGCACATTGCGTGTCATTGTATCTCGAAGGCGTGGGTTGTAGCTGGTGCATTCAAATCCGATTGGCCTTGCAGCTGGGCCAGACTATAAGCATTAAAGGTGAGGTGAAATGGGGTTTAACGTCGCGTCCAAGATTATTGCACTTATATAGCGACGTGCATGTACGTGTGTGTGTTTGTGTGGCTGCTTGTACTAGTCCGGACTGATGCCGATTTATAGTGCTAGCCCACTGAGATACCATGCCGCAGTTTAACATGAATACCCCACTCAGACACAGTATACTGACTCCAACCCGACCAGTCCTTGGTTTATCCCCTTAATGCCGAGCGCCAGACAGGGTAACAACAAGTACCATCTTTTAACGTCTTTTGGTATGACGCTGCCGGGGATCGAACCCCGGACCTTCCGCTCTCCGGGCGGACGCTCTACCACTAGACCACATAAGCATTACAGGGACACAGCTACAATATGCCGACTGTGCATTTGACAACGCGTTTGTTAAACACACAGTCCCCTCCTTAGTATTAGAAACTGACAACCATGTTATGACGTGATGCTCATTCGATAGTGGTTACCACTTCTGGGATAAATACTCAATCCTCACATTCGTATATACATGTCTGAGCAAGCCTCTGTCTTACATGTCAAAGAAATCCCGAGTGCTTGGTGTGTTTTTATTCGTTATCACTTTGTAAACGTTTACAGTTTTTTTCCACAGTCAACAGTAACATTTTCCTTTTACATATCTATGGCTTTGGAACCATTCTACCATTGTACGGAGCCAAAAGGTATTCCATAAAATTGCGGGGGCACTATCAATAAAGAGGCGGGGACCAGTTTAACATACATTTGAATAACCCGACTAGTCATCTATCAGGTGATCATCCCCTGTTGAGACTTTTAAGTATTTGAGTTATTTTCTTACTCTAAACCCTATTAGTTATCAGTAAAGGAATTACTATCAGAATTTGTTGTTTTGTATCTTTGATAGTTTTTTTTCAAAAGGAATGCTAACTGACTGGGTTATACCTAATATTTAACGTCTCTATTTTCAGTAACTGGGTTTTCTTTGTGGGGATCGGTTGGCGCAGTTGGTGGGGTTGTTACTCTGTATACTACATTGGTAAGTAAACACGTAAACATCGTCTCTGCATTCTACACTGGTAGGTAGACAACGCATCTGCATACTGCACTGGATAGGTAAACATGTAAACAACGCTTATGTATACTACACTGGTAAGTAAACGATGCCTCTGTATACTACTCGGTAAACACGTATCACACTGTGGCGTGTAACCACGCACTATACTGGTACAAAAACACGTAAACAACGCATCTGTATACCAGACTAGATAGATGAACACCTAGGTTCATTGGCGTTTAAGGAGCATTGGTTTATTATTAAAGTGACAATAATTCGGCCCCTTTTTATCTGTCTGGAAGTGCAAATAAAGTCCTTATACCATGCATGTATCAACCAGGTATCCACATAAGAATAGCTATACGTACACTGTACTTAATATTAATACAACAAATAGCAGCTGTAAACAATACATTCATTAAATAAACGTTCCCTCCATTATTCAGGGTGGTATGAAAGCCGTGCTGTGGACAGACACCATCCAGGCACTGGTCATGTTAGCCGGGCTGTTGGCAGTGCTCATCCAGGGTTCCATCGTCATGGGCGGCTTCCAGAACGCCTGGGACATCGCCGGTAGCCGCGCCAGGATTAACTTTCATGAGTTGGTTTCTTTAGTTTTGAGTGATTGAGTGTGAGCTATACATGTATTTCAGCATAATAAAGACCCTTCTTCAGTGTGGACATGAAGCCCAAATTGACACAGGTCGTAGACGTCTGACATCTGTTTAACCCAAGAGCACGGACGGGATGCTTCGACACCAAGCGTCATAATAACGAAATAGGCCAAGCTCAGAATAACTGGGATAGTTATAACATTGTATGGAAATTCATGTTCTATTTCACATTGCAGTTTCAGCTTCGATCCGACTACTCGACACTCGTTCTGGTCGGTTGTGATAGGCGGAGCTTTCTTCTGGATGTCGCTGTATGGATGTAATCAAGCCCAAGTCCAGAGAGCCATATCATGTCCAAGTGTTTCCAAGTCACAAATGTACGGAAAATGCAGGGCGACCATGAGGGAGTCATAAAGTTGTCGTTTTACTTCTTTTGAGCATAACAGAAGCATAATTAAGTCCTTCGAACAAGAGACCATATAGCCATATATCATGTATTTCTATGGAGGCACAACACATGAACATATTCTGGGAATTTATGCATTGCTGGTTATTGTCAACTATTCAACTATTTTTGCACAATACATCAACTAGCGTATTCAATATTTGTGTAAGAAAACATATACACAACACAGGCAATGAATGGTTTTACAGTCAGTGTAGTTTTCTGTTCATAGATGTATTTCCATGACATTATTATTATACAGTACCTAAAGTGTACCCTATTCTGCCACACAGTGCAATGATCCTGAATCTGTTTGGCCTCATCGGTATTATCAGCCTTTGTTGCATGATAGGCATCGTCATGTTTGCCTTCTACAGCGACTGCCACCCCATCAACTTTGAAAAGCTAGTTACCAAGACAGATCAGGTAGGCGCTACATGTATGATAGGATTCAATGACACAATTTATTTAAAAAGATATCGGAATCGGGATGGGCATCGGGACAGAGAAATGAGCCTTAGAAATAATCTACATACATACATACATACATACACATACATACATACATACATATATATTACTGTATGTAGATTATTTCTTAGGCTTCTCGTTTCTCTGTCCCGATATATTATGGCTGCAGAGATAAACTTGCTCAACAATTAACAATCATTGCTTTAAATGAACAAAACAGAATTAATCACATGCTTAGATTACCGGTACCTCAATCTCATTAAAATCAGATACAAGTTCACACTACTGCTGAGACTATCCCATTGCAGGTCACGTCATCAGAACGACCTTTCGCGAACTTTGACCGACCAATGAAATGACTAACAGGAAGTCGACATTAGCCACTACGAAAGCAGCTTTTTTGAGCTTCAAACTATGTATATTAACAGCATAAAGAAAAGAGTACTGGTACATTCATATATGTATGACTGACATCACATCACATTCATAACTTTATGCAAAAGTTAGTTCATTTAGATTCGTCCACGATGACAATACATATTGTGTTCTTCTAATATTGTTTCCATCTCTCGCAGTTGGTGCCCCTCTTTGTGATGGACATCCTGGGTCACCTCCAAGGAATTCCTGGAATATTCATGTCTTGTATTTTCAGTGGAAGTCTCAGGTGGGTATCCCGTTCTATGACCCTTCTCATTTAGCCACTCAAACATTACTTATACTCCATGATTTATAGATTTAAAAAAAACTAGTACCACATCCTAAAATGCTAAAAAAAATAATTTCAGATACAATTTCTTCCGATCATTGCATCAAAATTCGTATACTTTCTATTATTGGGTATTTTTAACTGAATAACCGGTAGATCTTGGAGAAAATGCGTGTACAGCTGGTTGCTATTTGCGGCTTAGTTTACAAAACAATTCACACGGTAATCTTATTTTTTGCATATAAAATAACGCCTTGCATAACATGAAACACAATTAAAATGGTAAATCATGTCTAGTGTTGTGTTTTCGCAAATTTCACATTATTATTGACCAAGTTTGTAAATCCGTTTTTAGGATTATTTTCATTCTCGCATTAATTTCAAGATTTACAGTATGTGAAACTGTTTTATTCCTTCAACGGACACTTACTTACTCGATTGATATATTGTATTCTTGAGTTCGAACCAAACACCTGACTCCCATCCAACATCGCAGATAATTTTGTATCACCCTTTTACATGAGTTAACAATTATTTTAATTATTTACCTTTAATCTAATTCATCGTCTCTGCTTTAATTCAGTTCCCTGTCTTCCGGTCTGAACGCACTCGGGGCAGTGATCCCTCACGATCTCATCAAGCCATTCTGTTGTAAGAACCTCCCAGATAAAGGCATGGCCATTCTCTCTAGGATTATTGGTAAGTAGATATCTCCAAGATTTCACAAATGAAAACGGCGGCATAGAAATTACAAATAAAATGTACATTACACACATTAATTTTTCACAATGATATGTGTAATACGATTGAAGAAAGGAAATTTATTTATATTTTCAGTTATTATTTGCGGTTGTTTGGCAATTGCCCTTGCTTTCGTGGTGTCTCAGCTTGGCAGTGTACTGCAGGTAAATATGCCTTCGTCGTATTTCAGTATATACATAGGAGATAGATAGTATGAATCACGTTGTAAATTGAGCGGTGACGATGACTGCTCGGCACGGTCATTTTAGACGGTTTACATAAAGCGCAGACCAACCCTGATATGAGCTCTTGTCTATACAACTACAAGTGGTTTGTGTGGTCCGGACCTCATTATGTTACAGGCGTCATGTATGTCAGTATTTATGAAGCCGAACTCTGTAGATGTCTTCATTAGTGTGATCCATTCATGTAATTTTCATCCCTATTTTGTCATTTTCGGGATGGAATCTGTTTCGGCGTGTAATCGAGACTTGTTATTCTCTGGCGTTGACGCTTTATACACGTATGTTCTATTTCATTTCTATCCACTTAGTTGTAAAATTAACTTGGCAGGAAAAGGATTTTTTATAAGCATTATATAAAACTTCTTCTTTTTTTAACCATAGAATGCCTCTTGTTTTCAGGCATCGTACACTGTGTACAGTATTCTGAACGGCCCAACGTTCGGGCTGTTTGTGCTGGGAATGTTCTTTCCATGGGCGAACGCTCGGGTAGGAAATTATTTTTGTATTTTCTTCTACATAGCATTAATATAAAACTTGAAGAGGCCTAGGGATATCAATTTTTAACAGCTCGTTATTACTGTTTATGCTATATTAGTGAATGAGTGAGTTTGGTTTTACGCCGCTATTAGCAAGATTCCAGCAATATCACGGCGCGGGACACCACAAATGGGCTTCACACGTTGTACCCATGTCGGGGATCGAACCCGGGTCTTCGGCGTGACGAGCCACCGCTTTAACCACTAGGTTACCCGACCGCCCCTTATGCTATATTAGCAAAACAGCTTGCTTATTAACGAGTTGATGAATGATCTTAATTTTTTGAAAGATTGATCGTATTTCTTATCTAATTTGTCCGGGTTTGAGTAGATCCCCCGGCACGAACATGCATGCTGGTCGTCAACGACGACTTAATGGATCGAGTGGTCAGGCTCGGTGACTCGGTTTATGACGTGTCATCGGCGTGGCTGCTCATAATATCACTCACTGGATTGTCTGACCGAGACTCGAATATTTATAAGCCATAATATAGCTGGAATATGACACTGTGCAAAGTCAAACAACAAACACGTGTTATCGTACTTAAAGCATACCTGGATGCCCCATCTCGTTAGCATTCATGTGTTTGAATAGCATTGGTGCCTTCGTTAAGCGATGGTTATTAATAATAATAATAATAATAATAGTTATTTAAAAAAGAAAAGGCAGGAAAAATAAGAATTGTGCATATTTAACGCCTAGTCTAACAAATTAGTTCGTTTTTGTTATGTCAAAATTACAATGCAACTTTCTAAAACAGTATGCATAATAATAGGATAGATCCATGTGTGTCCACCGAACACATACCGGTGGTGTTCCGTGTTGGAGTAGGTATCCAGCAACCTATGCTTGTCGTTGGAGGCGACCAGGTACATGTAGATCGGGTTGTCAGACTCAGTGACTTGGTTAAGATATGTCATCTTACGACATGGGATATTGTAATGGGACGCTCATTATATGAATCACTGTGTTTATGGTCCAAACTCGAATAATTATAAGCCATCGTCATCATATGACTCAGTGCAACGTTTAACAACAAACACATGTTATCGTAATTAAAGCATACCTGGATGTGTTTATTTAAGGGAGCTGTCGTCGGTTGCCTCACCTCCTTAGCATTCATGTGCTGGATTGGCTTTGGTGCCTTTGTCAACGCTGTGCGTACAAGTACACCGCTTCCTACGTCAACTGAGGGATGCAACTGGAACATCACTACGACAATGACGTTGTTAACGCCAAGTACTGTTACACCTTTTACCAGTTCCGTTGAACCAATGGGATCCAGGTGAGATGTCAAGGGGTCAAACAGCCTATGAGTGTCTTCATTGTTTCTTTCACTATTCTTGCACTTGTCACTTCATTTAAGGAAACCTTGAAAAAAACTATGCTGGCAATTTAAGAAGCACATTGGGTCAGGGAAACAGTAACATCGGATTCTGGCAGCAAAGGGACCCACCGTGTAACATTCTGAGGGATGGGGCTGATGGGGAGGGGGTACTACTTCTGTTAGAGACAAAACACGGTCAAAACACGCAAATTACTTTCTGTCAAAGGTGAAACCGAACAATTTCATCATTGCACACACAACCCCCCCCCCCCCCCCCCCCCCCCCCCCCAAACCACCACCACCTCATTTTTGGCAGGATACCTAACATATCCAGCGAACATTTAATGGGGACGTTTTCATTTTTTCTGATATTTCAAAACAAATGATTTTTTTCCATCCCCAATCATACTTCTGTTGAGCCTTTATCACAAGACACAAATCCGCAAATATCTGTACATCAAACTCTAGCACCAACAATATCGATTATGTATTTCCAGGGACCCATTTCTCCCGATGTACAAATTGTCCTACCTGTACTATACTCCGGCAGCAATGGCCGTGGTGATCATCGTCGGTATGATCGTCAGCCTCATCACGGGTGAGTTGTGTTCTTCAATGATGAGTGAGTGAGTGAGTATGGTTTTACGCCGCTTTTAGCAATATTCCAGCAATTTAACGTAGGGGGACACCAGAACTAGGCTTCACACATTGTACCCATGTCGGGAATCGAGCCCGGGTCTTCGGCATGACGAGCGACCGCTTTAACCACTCGGCTACCCGACCGCCCCACTTCAGTGATGAACCCTCATTCACTCACTCACCGACCCACTTACTCACAGGTATGGTTCCTAAATGGGTTCAATGTGTGAAGCCTATTTCTGTCTTCCCCCGACACAATTCAGCTAAAATACGGCGTAAAAACAATTATGATGATTTAGGATTAGCTCGGTGGTTAACGTGTTCACTCATCACACCCAAACCAGAGGTTCGATTACCCACAGGAGTACAATGTGCGAAGCTCATTTCTGGTGTCCCCCGCCGTGATTATATTGCTAAAAATATCACTCACTCACTCAAATGATTCCCAAATGGGTACAACGTCTGGTATTGCCGTTTTCTCACGCTATGGTACAGCCGGAATACGTCGTAAAATAAATTATGATACTATGATGGTAATGATATGAATACTAAACGCATTATTTGGAGAACAGTGTTAAAACCATCACATTGTAATGGTGTATCATATATAAAGAAATGTTTAACATTTGTAAGATACTGATTGACATGTTATAGGCCGCAGAGATCCTCAGACCATGGACCCTCGTCTAGTCTGTCCTCTGTTTGACCGGCTCTTCTTCTGTGTAAGATACTGATTGACATGTTATAGGCCGCAGAGATCCTCGGACCATGGACCCTCGTCTAGTCTGTCCTCTGTTTGACCGGTTCTTCTTCTGTGTAAGATACTGATTGACATGTTATAGGCCGCAGAGATCCTGGGACCATGGACCCTCGTCTAGTCTGTCCTCTGTTTGACCGTCTCTTCTTCTGTGTAAGATACTGATTGACATGTTATAGGCCGCAGAGATCATCGGACCATGGACCCTCGTCTAGTCTGTCCTCTGTTTGACCGGCTCTTCTTCTATGTAAGATACTGATTGACATGTTATAGGCCGCAGAGATCCTGGGACCATGGACCCTCGTCTAGTCTGTCCTCTGTTTGACCGTCTCTTCTTCTGTGTAAGATACTGATTGACATGTTATAGGCCGCAGAGATCCTCGGACCATGGACCCTCGTCTAGTCTGTCCTCTGTTTGACCGGCTCTTCTTCTGCATGCCAGAGATGATACTCCGACCTCTCAGATGTGGAGTCAACCATAGACGTGTAAGTTTATTGTGCTGTGGTAATGTCTGTATTTAAACTAATTATTTATTTTCCAATTAGCATAACTACATTATGACTTGTCAGTAGAGATTCCGGGACTGGAGAGACCCCAGTAAGATGTCGTTAGATGCAACGATGGCCAGGCGCAGTGACGTGGTCGATTGCGTGTCATCGTACCCTGAAGGCGTGACATATTGTTCATAATACCAGTCACTGGTTTGTCTGGCTGTGACTCGATTATTTTGAGGCCGCGGTCATGTAGCTGGAATATTGCTACATTTTTAAACAGTAAACAAACATAATGATATCCACCTGTGTGACTGTAAAAACGATTTTTTTAAAAATGCGTTTACTCATTATAACGTTTTAATATTGTTTCCGAAAGTTTATCTTTCATGTAACGCTAACTACGTCAATCTTCACTGTCACAACCATAACGTTACGGGTTTGTATGCAAGCAGATTGCCCAAAGACTCGAATAGTGATTTCTTTATCGCTACCGAGAGTGTGGCATTGTCACTTGCGCCCTTGTCGCCTTGTCTGGTTCGTGGTACTATTTGCCTTTTATGTATATGCAGATACCGAGCATTATGATTCTTTCAACAAACTTCAATTCAAAACAAAACTCGGAAAACCTTTTTATTAATAACTCTCACTCTGATTCATATTCAGCAAATGCGTAATCCTTCAAGTTTTGAAATACAAAGAAAATCAAAATGCCCTATAACCTACGGGCTGTGGTGAATTAGGGAGTATCTGTGTCCGAGTAAAATTAATGTTGTAAGTTTCGACACTTATTTGAATTGGTTTTGAAAAATGTGTGTCTCCCGATCACTAGTGGAGACTTCAGCTCAGTCAATCTTTTGCTGAAACGAAGTCACGAACAATGAATGATGTCATCTATCCTCAGTTGCGACAATGCGTAGCTATGACGAAACGTTGCCACTTCGCAGACAATTGAAAACAATGGAACCACTGGCATAAACTTGTCAGTTTGCAAAACAAAAACTAATATGCTGACTGAGCATTACTGAAACTAATTGTATCGATAACCTTACCATAAAAGTAATGTACTATTATGTGTTATCCTACAGAATCAACCCCCACACAAGACGTCCATAGTCAGCACCCCTCACACCCTCGAGAACTCCCCACCCTCGGGGCACATACTGGTGAAGGGGAATACTGACATCACGCCTCCCAGGGCCACTGCTTTTATAAACCTCGGCTTTGAAACAGAAACGGAACCTACAAAACAATTGGAAACGGACACGAACTTGTGATAAAAATGCAGGTGAAAATTAATTGAACTTCATATTGTCATTGACTAATGATATATTACTATTAACATGAGGACAATGGACAAAAATCGATAAATATTTTAACACGTTATATGCGACATAGATGTATTAAGGATTGGGTATAGTGAGAAATTGTGAACTAATGGAATATTACAAACTGACGGACCATGTTAAAAAATAATTAACCTGTCAAGTGTCAAATCGATAACGCACATCGGACATACTCCTGGACCAGTTTTTCTCGACGTGCTGGTCAGAAAAGAGTTTCGCAAATAATTGTAAGGCGTCAATACCTGTATCTGTTTCTACAGCTGTTTATAATCTACCATAAATCACACGTTTTTCGTATACATTCGTGGCACACTAGCAACTGGTAAGCTATTTTTCTTACCAAACTTCACTCATAAACACCTTTATCATCATTGCTTCTGTCATTTGTTTACATTCCGTCGAGATAGCGCCACTAAGGTTCACAATTACAATTTTATCGTGAGTTTAATCAGTAAATGAGAAATTTCTGTTGTAGGATAAATACGGACAACATTGTTACGTTGTTTATCTTTGGGAATATGTATAGTGGCTGAACTAGTGTGTATCTTGTGTGAATGCCAACTCGGGCAGTGTACTGGTATTAGTTTAGGGGTCGGATGTACTATATCCTATTATTTGTAAACTATTGTATTACGTTGTGTACCTTGGAATATGTATCGTGACTATTGTAGTATTGATCTTGTTTAATGATCTTGTTCTTCCCATAAATGCGCTTCTATAACTGATTGTAAACATTGCTATTTTTGACTGATTATATATATGATTCTGTGGCTGTCTAATAAACTGATTGTTTATTCACCCAGGTCATGTGTTGTTGTGTGTGTTTTTGTGTACACTGGAAGTACAGTGGTACCACCGCCAAGCGAGCTGATTCCCAAACTCTCGCTTTAAATTACAGTAAACTACGGTTATAACGAACACGCTTATAACGAACTTACGGATATAACGAACTTACTGTTTGGTCCAGACTATTTGCTGTAATTATGCTGTAAGTACGGTTATAACGAACTAAAATTAGTAGTCCCTTTGAGTTCGTTATACTTTACTGTATTACCATTGACTCCATTAAGTAGATGTATCGATACGTTTAGTTTCTTGACTTGTATTACATGGTTTGTATTTAGTAAAGTAAGTATTTGTATGTTGATGGCTAATATGAGTTATTTACTATTTTGTTTATTACCCATATGGGATCAAATATGCAGTGTAAAATCTTTTTGATACTTGTGTGCAATTAGTGATTCTCGAAGCTGATTGGTCAGTTGAACAAAGATCCATTTTCATTGGACAACGGGACTATTTTTTCTCATCCCATTCATTCACGCATCCACGCCATTCATTCAGGTGTTTTACAGGCTACAATCTCACTGATTCGAGATTTGTAAGACAAGAAACATAGTTTCATATCAACAACATGATATCACTTCTTTTTTTTCATTTATTTCACATGATTTTCATTTTACAGTAAAAACCAAAACTACGTCTGTTTTACTGGTGAATGTGCTAATTTTAAATTTTGGTGAATTCGTTCACTAGAGCGTCGTGTATGTTCACGTTATCAAACTAGCAAACTTGTCACAGAAAAAATGGATGTCATATACATGATTGTTTTTGTATCACAGTTTACTTCAGCAGAAAAGCTATTATCCTTTTCTTATTGACCATTCACATGTATCTGACGTTTCTCTCAAGGAACGGCTTAACATAATATTACCGAAGGTTTGAGATGATACCTTACAAACATTGACATTGACTCCCATCAGCATCAGATGCCCTATATAAAAGAAACCATATGTTCATCCTGCATTTGTATTGTGATGTAAAATGTCCTCCCTGAGATTATTTAAAAACATGCGTGTTTTCCTAAATATTGCATAATGTGCGAATAAATAAAATTATATAGATGCTTCCCATGGTAGGTACGAGTACAATGTAGTCATACATTTCGAGATGTTCACTTACAGAAAACCCTCACGAACCAAATAGTGGGTCTACCCGATACCCCGGAGAAGGTAAAACATATACAATCGTATAGCGTCCTGACGAGCTACCACGTAGTTACTTTAATTTACCCATGGCTAAAGTAACTAAAACGGACCCATAATATTCACAAACCATATTTTCTTGAACCATAAATTGTGTTCAAATGAGTTGTCCGTGCATGAACGAAATTTATACCAATCTGACATTTTGTCCACCGCACAATTATGTTGACTTCGACAAACAGCATGGATCAGGAACATTTTTTTAATATTGCATTTAATTAATATTTTAGACTTATCCAGTTTGTTCTTGGGTATATAAAATGTTACGGATACATCGGTAAAATGTTTTACCTGTCGTTATTATCGTTATTAAGTTATAATTCATGTTTGTGCTCCATGTACCCCTTCGTTGTACAAATATTGCAAATGGTCAACATATTTGCTCTGACATTCTGTGGAAATAATGGAGGTACGCGTGAAAACGGAATGCATGTACATCATAATTCGTCCCGAACGAATGCAGGATGGCGTTGGATATTTGAATTGTACATACATTTGTATGTGCTTTTCCATATTTGGTTAACATTTTCATTGCTATGGTGGTGTATGTCTATATGTATGATATTTTGATGTTATTGACATTTCATTGGGTGTTTTTTCATTTATTATTGGTAACACGTTTGACACAACATGACCAAGTTGTAAGGAGAATAAAGGCATATTGGCTGGTTATATCAACATATATACAGATTTCTCGTTTGGAGATCACTTTTCTGAAAGAATTAATGTTTATGTATTTCCTGACCAAAGTGATGCGGACCTTTCGACCTTCACAGCTTTTGTGCTGGCATACTTTTGAAACATACCCAAACTACGATCAAACGTGGCGGGTACACCTAGGGGACACAACTCTGCACGGCGTCTTAACCATACAATGTGTGAAGCCCACATCCTTTATTGGGTATATTTAATTTTGTTCTACCAAAGGGTAGGGGAAGGAGGGGAAGAAGGGGGCGGGATCTGAACAAGATATCAATGTTTTGATACTTTGTATGTGTGTCTTTTTAAAGATTCATTCGTGTTCAGTCATTTTGAGTATATGTGGATGAGTGAGCTGACGTTAAGGTGTGCGGGTGTGTGTCTGTGATGTCATAATGACTATATATGAACGCCTGTTGGCCTGTGCATAAAGGTGAGAAAATGATGAGTGCAGTTTGTATTCAGGCACCATATTGTTGGGGATTGCCTTAAAGTCGGGCCAAGAAAAGTCGGGCCGGGCCGGGCCAGCGGGTAATACTAAAATGGATTGCAGAATAATAAAACGAAACGTGCATATCTAGGCAGATCTCAATTGTCCAGAAACGTATAGTTTTGCTCATTTAATTGAGTTTGAATCAAAATGCATCTTCAGCAATGACTGACTGACTGATATAGGAGATTTAACGTGCGCTTTCCGACTGTAGCGTATTTCAGCAATGTAATAAACTGATAATTATAGCTACATACCGAGATTCCATACCGAAAAGTCAGTGTCTTGACTGTCTTTTCTTTGATGAGAAGGTTTCTCACCGACCTTAGCGTGCAGGGGTGTAATGTCCTGGGCAGGAATTCGAAATGTCAGTGTTTTGACTACTCTTCTTTCATTAATTAACGTGATTGGCATCCCTAATTAACCTTTACTAATTCATGTTAAACCAACACAGGATGTTTTCTGCAAGTGGATATTCGCGAATGTCATAGGGCTGACATATGTTAATAACTGTCAAAGCGCTTCTAAAAGCTTTACGTCTATAGACTAGTATTATATCTACCTATATAACACTTTAGTGCCTCATTGCAGTAGCAAACACGGTGCTCAAAAGTGAAGCCCTTTTCCCCTCTACATTCTTTCTATCAGAAGTGTTTGGCTTGTGTTGGGTCCGAATGGGTCCGGGCGGTGAAAATCTTCCATAAACACACATATGTATCTTCAAATGTGTTTACATCTATAGATTAGTATTCAATCTACCTATAAACCACTTTATAATGTCACGGTTCATCGTATTTAAAGAAAAGAATGAGCTCAAAGTTGTCAGTTTTATGTGTTGGTGTATTGGGTGTTATTGGATGCATTTTGCCATTGATACATGTTTTGCCATCTCACCACGCTGCAGTTTATTATCATATTAATCAGATGTTTAATTTGAACGGTTGAAGCATAGTTCTCGTTGTTGACGTTCTCGTTCTCATAGTTGTCGTGTTGACACCTGACTACACACTTTGGTCGCCGGTTTTGATAGATATGGAACCTGAGATGTGTTCCCTTTGATGGCAAGTTTTGAGTGACAAGTTACCTGAAGCGTGTTAACTCCAAGCTATGGCTAGTTACCTTTGTTGAATTAAGAATGTCTCATTTGAGATGTTTCAAAGGAGGGTGGATTCCATATCTGTAAATGTCATTCGGAACAGGACAATTTTGCACTTTTGAATCGGAACCTAGATACCGTTGGGTGATATCTCGTGTCTGTCCTTAACAAAACTCCATGGTTGGAATTGCCTACAGCTTTGTACATTGCACCCTCATGGACGTTCTATAAATGGTCATGTAATCAGAAGTAAGAAACCATACTCTCCACCACATCCAATAAAACGTGTGTTTGAATACATCAAACACCTTTACCTCAACGAGAACGGTGACAGCCTTCGACTGTGTACACTGTCACTCACACAAGTATATTTCCTATACACAAGCAGTCGCCGTGACGGGGAAGGGCTCACACAGGCAGGTATTTCTGTGCGCGAGGGTGACAGAGATAGCGCGCTACGAAGCATAAACTGTTTCTCAGTGAGTGTTGTGTCACTTCAGGATACTGACCTTCCATCATGTCTGAGGACTACAGCATCAACACTGGACAGAAGAAGACCTTTACTATCCCCGACTATGTCCTTTTCAGTCTCACATTGGCAATATCGGCCGGGATCGGACTTTTCTATGCCATCAAAGATAGAAACAAAATCAATTCTAAGGAGTACCTTTTGGGCGGTAAAGATATGTACGTCCTCCCCGTGGCGATGTCGCTGCTGGTGACATTTCTCTCTGCATTAACGTTGCTGGGGACGCCGGCTGAGATGTACAACTACACGACGATGTTTTGGTGGTTATGCCTTGCATTTGTTTTTGCAATGGTCATTGCTTCAGTTGTATTCATTCCATTCTTCTATAATCTGAATGTGACAAGTGTATTTCAGGTGAGTTTACTGTCCAATAATCCATTACAGGCATAGGCTATTTATGGGTTTTTTTATGTCAGCTAAAGGAGAATCTTGTTTTCTCCATCAGGCATACGCAATGTTATGCCCGTAACTGACGACGAGAAAGGTACACAGAAGCGGCCTGTGTGTCAGTATTTTATGTGCCCGTTGATTTGGGGGCAGATAAATATTATAATAGAAACTATCAGACCTTGAAGAATGCTTTATAAACAAACCTGCATATACATTTTTATATCTGTGCAACAAAGACATGCTCCTGATTATTCATACTAGTTTATGTAAACATTTGGTTGAAACACGTTATCTATTATTAGAAGTCCTAACGTTAAGCTGTTCCATCACAGCGTGCGCCCAGATTTGATTACAGCTCACAATGGATTGAAGTAGCAGACCATGGCGTCCTTACAAAATCGAATTCAGTTAACATAGTCAGATACCCGTGTTACATTACCTAATGCAATATTTGTTTGCCATGACAGGAAACCTGTTTTGCGCTATCATCTTACTTGACTCATGTATTAACAAGCGGTTTTTCGTTTCTTATAAACTTTGATAGTCGCTGAGACGTTTTCAGTGATACCTAATTTTTGACGTTAATTGTAGATTTATATCAAATACCATGATTGAATACCATGATCAAAATCGTATAAAATCGTTAAAAGGACTCGTTATTTGTTGACGTCGTCGGCAAAACTTTACGCTGGTTGAGGAATTGACGAATTATTATTATTGTGTTTTCAGTATCTAGAGCTGCGTTTCAGCATGCCTGTGCGTGTTCTCGCCTCCCTGCTCTACATTTTGCAAACTGTAAGTCCACAGACAATTCAACACACACTACAACAAGGTTCCACGATTACCCAGTGCATCGTACCTCCATTCTGTTGACATATATACCCTTAACCCTTTCGCCCCAATACCTTCGTTTCAGAAGTGACGCCACCAGCTCATCTCTATTATCATTAACTAAGCATGTTCGTCTCGCATGTTGACGATTGGGTCTTCGGTAGATAGCAGACTAGGATAGTTGATTGGTTGTTTGTTGTTTAACGCTGCACTCAGCAATGTTCCAGCTATATGACGGCGATCTGTAAATAATAGAGTCTGAACCAGACATTCCAGTGATTGACATCATGATCATCGATCCAAGCAATTGGGATACGATGACATGCATCAACCAAGTCAGCGAGCCTGAACGCCTGATCCCGTTAGTCGCCTCGTACAAATACAATACACTGGATAATCAAAGATGTCTGTGAAGATGTCTCATTGTATCCCGATGGTGTGGATCGATGCAGGAATTATGGAGCTATTGTCGAGGCGATGCAGCAAATAATTCTGATGTCAAAGATTCTTGCGGTACTGCACCAGCAGAAACACTGCAAGTTATGAGTTTAGATGAGTGTTGGAATTCATAATAATATGTGATATTTAAGTGTAGTTCGGAGTACACACTGTATTGCTATTTCCGTTTTACGTCAAGATTCAGTTCAATATTATTTCAATGTGACTATTTACAGAGTGCGTATATGTCGTTCGTCCTCTACGCCCCTTCGCTGGCTCTGAATGCGGGTATGTTTTACCATTTGACTACAAAAGGTCTAGTAACGTTATTTGAGATTAATATGTAAATTTGAAAAATGAAAAATATATTTATAATATTATTTCTTGGTTAATTTCTGATGCTTTTTTTGATTGTGGAAATAAAAAATTAAAATTAAATAAACTAATTAAAACATACCTACAGAACAACATTTACTAATAATATACGAATTATTTACCTCTCCTTGTGACTGAATATAATCACACATTGATCCGTTTCAGCATACATATAGATGTTGGTTTTCTTTAAGTTACTGGACTTGATCTATGGGGATCTCTGGTGGCTGTTGGAATCATTGTGACGCTGTATACCGCTCTGGTAAGTCGTGTTTTGTTTGCGTTGTACTGGGAAGCTATTGACAGCTCTATATTAGTGTGGTCTATAACATGTAGTCAGTCTGCCTATCACTATGACCAGCGATCCTTAGGCAGCCCGCATGACCCTATTTAATACACCGTTAGAATTCCCATGAATGAATTGGGTCTGTATAGTTGGGTAATTTGTATCACATCATTTTAGCTTAATATAGATCTCGGTAGGGTAGTCTTGTGGTTAAAGCGTTTACTCATAATGCTGAAAGCCCTGATTGGGACCACATGGGTACAAAGTGTGAAGCTCATTTTTGGTATCCCGTGACATTGTGATGGCATGTGTGCAGCAAACGGGCCACAAATCAGGCGAAGGTGAGGCCACGATGCATGTTGTTCAGAGTCTTCCCTAGAAAAACGGAGCATGAGCCGATTTGATATGGCACTTCGCTAGGTTGACACTCATTTCTGTCAAGCAGTACAGAACCATCAACAGATTGCTTGAAGCGGTGTAAAAATATGCTCATTCACACAGTTGGTCTTGGTGTCGGTGACGTTTACCACCAGCTCCGGTATGGTAACGACAAAACGACATTCCTTAACGACTGCTGTGTCTCTGTGACATGTATTTCATCATTCATCTCTGTGTTTCAGGGGGGAATGAAGGCTGTGTTGTGGACAGACACTTTCCAGGCTTTTGTCATATTAGCGGGGTTGTTGGCTGTTCTCATCCAGGGTTCCATCGTCATGGGTGGCTTCCAGAACGCCTGGGACATCGCCGGGAATAGATCAAGGATTAACTTCCACGAGTACGTATGGTTGATTGGACGATCAGTCATCAAATAATCATAAATGACTGTGTATATAATTATACCCCGATCCACAACATCCCATGTATTTACTTTGTTGCAGCTTCAGCTTTGACCCCACTACCCGCCACTCTTTCTGGTCGGTTGTTGTGGGCGGGTCCTTCTTCTGGATGTCACTGTATGGAGTTAACCAGGCTCAGGTCCAGAGAGCCTTGTCCTGTCCATCTATGTTTAAAGCCAGACTGTGAGTATGACGCAACGTACAATGTACTAGTTCAATGTTCCTACGTGTATATATTCTGTCGAAATTGAAAAGATAACAAAGAAGGCACCTGGAATTCTATAACCATAAGCAATCTCGGCAAAATCAGTGTATCATTCCGACTATATCATAAGAGTGTTTTTAAGAATCACTATCAAATAGTGATGATACCCGGTTTTCGCGAAAGGATGAGCGCATCCTGACCCACCAGTGGCACCCGTTACACATGCAAAGGCAAGACAATTGATGACCGAAAACAAATGTGAAGTCGGGTCAAAATAGGGAATTGCATCGGACATAATTTTTATCACTGATGCGTCAAATTTGAAAATGTCCTCCACATGTCTACCATGAAAGGTTTTTACAGCTTTACTAATCACAAGGCTTTGATTGTTGTAACCCTGATCAAACGACTTAAGCTATAGTCGTATGACATTCTTTGAATGTTTTGTAGAAAGATCATGAGCGACTGTACTTCAAGAACATCCGGGGTCTTCAGCAACCCATGCTTGCCGTAAAAGGCGACTACGCTTGTTGTAAGAGGCGACTAACGGGATCGGGTGGTCAGGCTCGCTGACTTTGTTGATGCATGTCATAGTATCCCAATTGCGTAGATCGATGCTCACGATGTCAGTCACTGGATTTTCTGGCCCAGACTTGATTATTTACAGACTGACGTCATATAGCTGGAATACTGCTGAGTGCGGCGTTAAACAACAAACACAACACACTTCAAAAGTTGTGTAATGTTATTCCTAAGGGCTTCAGCTGCTAGAATATGTTCGACATAAAGGGAACGTTGACTGTTGTAAAGCTGAAGTCATCCCTCTTGTCAAAGAGTACTGTGGATAGTTGTTTTTCACTCTGGGCTTCATGTACAAAAGATCAAGTAACAATAATACCCACGTAATGATATGAACATTGTTCCAATGAACAAATTATAGGCTTGACAATAGTAGATGTATCATTTTTAGTGAGTAAACATTGACTTAATTTTCATTTTACGAGGTTGATAAAGTTACATTATCTGCATAACTTTTTGAAAATGTATACATGTATCCTGAGCAATTTATATCGATGGATTGCGCTTCAGAAATGCAATGTATGCAATGTGTTAAAACGACCTGTGGATGTGTGTAAAAGAGACAAGTCCCTTTCCCAAACCACAAAATATATCAACTACAATCAGATAACTAATTTAATTAAGAATTGACTTTCACTTTGTGTGAGTTCATTGGAGTATGAACCTTCACAAAGTGAAAGTCAATTCTTATAATTTTTGTATCACAATTTCTTACCTCAAAGGATGTAGGCCAAGGTCTAAACACAATTTTATTTAGTACGTGTGACTTCATGTTTACACTGACAGATATACAACAACCAGCTATTTCGCGGAGTAAAATAGTTCCTTAAAAAGAGAGGTGAGATGAGCGTATGGATGCACAACTTGCTCTTCAGAAACATTTTACGCAGCACATGTGTTCAAATCATATCCTCATTAGATGAGAAAGTTCTGTAAAGAACTACCTCAGTAAGTCAGTCACAATGACAGCGCGTCGTAATACATTTACATCAAGTACAAGACGTCAAAATGGCCGACACAATAAACGTGGCTGGAGAGATTTCCGAAGTTGTTAATGAACCTGTGGCGGTTACATGTGTTACTCATCATTGATCAACTGGCCGATAATTGAAAGGTGAATAAAGATGCGTCAAACAGACACTAAGGTAAATTCACAGATTGCTGGAGACGGTCAGTGTCAGCCAAAGACACGGATCGAGTCGATACCACGATAGTTTAGATGTGCATTTCTTCGTTTGTTCATTAGGATAGGCTGTAGCGAGGATATTCGTGAACAATCATGCAGTCACGCTCTCTGACATTTCTCAATGTATACTGAAACGCTGAGACCAAGAATAAAGGTTCTAAATGATCATAAAGAACACTTATGTATGTGTTCGTGCTAGGGAATTCCAAGGGGTTTTCCCCAGGAATGTGGAAGTAGTCCCTCAGTGTTTACGTAATTTCAAGAACACGATCTCGTGAAAAACGTATGAACGTCAAATTGTGTCGTTCATACACTTATGAACGTCATTTTCGCGGTCATGTGACCGACCTCTCGGCCAATGGAAAAGCCGTATATCGTGTAAACTTCAAATTAAAAAATTATTCCCTGTTAAATAGAGAATCTCAACTGAGTGTCTTTTGATATCAAATATACTCACACGCAATTTTTTTAAGCAAATAGATAACAAACACGGAACCATAAATTGATACGAGTTTTAGCATGTAGTGAAGCCTGATGGTGTTATCAATATTTGTGGTTGCATTTTGGAAGCCCCGAGTAAAAACGCAACATAAAAAACGAATCGCCAAAACGCACCATTTCAATGAATATGTGGGTATCATGCACCCATTTCTCGCGAAATCGAAAATGCACGAACTGTCACGAACTGTAGTGGGTATAAAACTGTGGCCGATTCTTGGACCTAACACTCCTTGGTCAACAATGCCACGCCTAACTCAAATTCAGAGAAACCAGGCTTTCGGACGTTTGGAACCTGGAGGGTCTGTCCAAGATGTTGCCCGTCATTTCAACGTTAACATAACCACAATCTACCGTCTCCTGCATCGATACAATGCTACACAGACCACAGATGACCTTCCTCGGAGCGGTCGTCCTAGGGTCACCACACCTCAACAAGATCGGCAGATTACCCGTCAACACCAGCGACATTTGTTCCTAACTGCAAGTGAAAGTGCTCGACAGACCATAGGAACACATAATCGACACGTTAGCCGGGACACTGTGATCCGACGTCTCCATTCCAACAACCTCAGATGTCGCCGACCAGCACTTCGTCCTGTTCTCCAACCACGGCATCGACAAGCACGACTTCAGTGGGCACAGGGTCATCACAATTGGCGTCATCGTGAGTGGAGTCGTGTCATCTTCTCTGATGAAAGACGCTTTTGTGTCTCCCATGCAGACGGAAGAGTCAGAATTTGGCGGCGTCGAGATGATCGTTTCGCTGACAGAAACGTTGTGGAAAGGGATCCATGGGGTGGACCTAGCGTCATGATATGGGCAGGGATTGGACTTAATGCGAGACTTGGACCCATGTGCTTTCTGAGTGTTGGTCAAGGTCGGGGACACGGCGTCACTGCTCAGCGGTATATCGACCAAGTGATCAGACCCCACGTTGTTCCATTTTTTGCACAACATCAACAACACATTTTCCAGCAGGACAACGCTCGTCCCCATGTTGCCAGAGCTTAGACTACCATGGCCTTTCTGCAACAACACAACATCCGTGTTCTACCGTGGCCAGCCCTCAGCCCTGATCTGAACCCCATCGAACACTTGTCGGATCAGGTTCAAAGGCCTCTGCACAATGTGCGCCCAGTCCCTACAACTGCCGATGAACTACGCATATCTGCTCTGGGTGTGTGCAGACGGATCCCTAGGGCTTTCACAAATCGTCTGATCCACTCAATGAACAGGAGATGTGTGGCAGTGATCAATGCTAATGGTGGTCACTCCAGGTATTGACTGACATTTTAGGTATTGACCCGAAACTGTGTAAGCCCTTAATATTTGGAAAAAAACAATTATGTCATCTGCCTTTTAATCCATTAAACTGTCTTCAGTCAAATTTTTGCCAATCTTGCCCTATTAGTATTTCTTGTCTTTACTGTTGAAAATAAATAACATGTATGCTTCATACTCGACTTGCGTTTCTTTTGCGTGTGAGTTTATATCAGCACGAGTTGATAAAAGTGGAAAAATACCGAGGCTTGTTTTCCACTTTTATCAACGAGTGTTGATATATTTGATATCAAAAGACACGAGGGTGAGATTTTATTTATTATCCACCATTCTTCCAACTTTTTTCAGTTTGTAGAAAGTAATAAGCAATGTCTTAAGTGTAAAAAGGACTGCTCACAGCGCCATTAGTGATGTCATTTGATAGTGACGTCATGGTAACCAATGACGTCACACTGATCTGCAAAGCATTGAGATGCAATTTCTTTGCAGCAATATCTACACTGTAGATATCGCTTGATCTCACCCAAGCGATATCTCCTGTGGGAGCCAGTTTGGGATGATAAAATGCAATCGTATTATAATAATTTAATAATAACGTATTGATATAAAGTTAATATTTATTTGTTTTATTTATTTATTTACTTACTTAAAGAAAATTGACATTTTTCGTTTTCCGTTTATGAGTTTGTTGGGTTTAATGCCGCAGTATTCCTTTTATATCGAGACGTGTCAGCTTTATGTGGGAGGAAAGCCCGAAGTGATGCAGGCCTCAGACGTTTACCACTTCGCTGAACCCACGAGCACAGGTGAACCGGAATTCGAAGCCACAATCGTAGGTTTCTGGCGTACCAAGGGACGCAACTCTGCACAGCAAATCGGGGCGCCTTAGACGACTGGGCCACCCGTGCCCCCTTTCCGTTTATGAGCCTCCGTGTTTATAATAATGTTTCTTGATTTTTAAGGACACTCCTTGTAAACCTGCCTGGACTCATATTCATAGTCAGCCTTTGCTGTATGATCGGCATCGTCATGTACGCCTTCTATGCCGACTGCCACCCCATCAAGTTCAACAACCTAATCAGCAGAACAGATCAGGTAGGGTTAATGGAATCAAACAATAAGGAATATATGTACTTTTTTCCAACTTCGCGGTTCATACGTCCTGTTTTAGGTTTACTTCTAAGCTCAACCAGAAAAACGTTACCCAGACACACTGGTAACATGTCATCCTTTAGTGCCTATTTTAGTTCACTGGTAATTTGTCAACTCTTTATCTCGACACACTGGTAAAATGTCAACATTGTATCTTCACACTCTGGTAATATCTCCATTTTTTATCTCGACATACTGGAAGCAGATCAACTCTTTATCGCAACTCAATGATAATATGTAAACGCTTTATCTATACACACTGGCAATATGTCTGCTCTTTACCTTGACACACTGGTACTTTGTGAACGCTTTATCTTGACACGCCAGTGATAGGTCAGCTCTCTATCTCCACACACTGGTGGTACGTAAGCTCCTAGTAACACACTAGTAACATGTCAACTTTTTCTCTCGACACACTGGTAGCAGGTCAACTTTTTATCTCGGCACAGTAGTGATATGTCAACTTTAGTTCTCGACACACTGGTAAGATGTCAACTCTTTATCTCGACACACTGGTAATATGTCAACCCCTTATCTCGGCACAGTAGTGATATGTCAACTAAAGTTATCGACACACTAGTAATTTGTCAACTCTTTGTCTCGTTACACATTTGATATGTCAGTTCTTTACCTCGGCACAGTAGTGATATGTCAGCTTTAGTTCTCAACGCACTGGTAATGTGTCAACTCGACACATCCACACACTAGTAATGTGTACATTCTTTGCCTCTGATAATAATGTCAACTCTTTATCTCGGCCTACTGGTAATATGTTAACTCTTTATCTCAACACACTGGAAATATGTCACCTCTTTATCTCGACACACTGATAATATGTCACCTCTTTATCTCAACACACTGGTAATATGTCAACTCTTTATCTCAACACACTGGAAATATGTCAACTCTTTATCTCAACACACTGGAAATATGTCAACTCTTTATCTCGACACACTGGTAATATGTCAACTCTTTATCTCAACACACTGGTAATATGTCAACTCTTTATCTCGTTACACATTTGATATGTCAGCTCTTTACCTCGGCACAGTAGTGATATGTCAACTAAAGTTCTCGACACACTGGTAATATGTCAACTATTTATCTCGACACACTGGTAATATGTCAACTATTTATCTCGACACACTGGTAATATGTTAACTATTTATCTCGACACACTGGTAATATGTCAACTCTTTATCTCGACACACTGGTAATATGTCAACTCTTTGTCTCGTTACACATGTGATATGTCTGCTCTTTACATCGACACACCAGTAATGTGTTATATCTTTGTCTCTGATAATATGTCAACTCTATGTCTCCGCACATTGGTAATATATCAACTCTATTTGTCGACACACTAGTGATGGGTCAGTTCTTTACTCACTGGTAATATTTCATCTCTTAACCTCGACATACTAGTAATATGTCAAATCCTTATTTGCATCTGCAGAATGGCTTCTTCCATATTACATTATAGTATCAACAACTCGGGTTAAACGAGATTCAGTTACAATTAAAACCTACATATGTCACCTCCGTCCTATTATTGTGTTTGCAAATAGAGCAAACGTTTGTTTGTTTGTTTGTTTGTTTGTTTGTTTGTTTGTTTGTTGTTTAACGCCGCATTCCAGCTATATGACAGCGTTCTGTAAATAATCGAGTCTGGACAAGACAATCAAGTGATTGATCCCGTGAGCATCGATCCACGCAATTGGGATATGATGACATGCATTAACCAAGTCAGCGAGCCTGACCACCCGATCCCGTTAGACGCCTGTTACGACAAGCATAGTCGCCTTAACGACAAGCATGGGTTGTGGAAGACTCGTTCTACCCCAGATCTTCACGGGTTCAAACCTCCTCAAACATACGAAGACAGTTTAGAAAATAGTTCAAGCATTGAAAACTTCAACGATAAAATTATTCTATGCTTTATGTTTGAGGCGTAACCGTGTTCTTTTGGATACTTCCAATCGCGCAGTACAGCATAGGTTAAACTGGTAATAAAATATCCAGAACCTAGTGAGAGTCAAGTTTACGCCACGGTTACATACACATTTAGATGTGAGGCTTGGCTTATTGGTTTTTACGACGATTATGATTCAGCATATAACGCTGGCTGGTCATTCAGTTAAGGCTGTTTATTCAGTCACGTCAATGGGTTTATTCGTACGAACAGCAATACTTTGAAGCAGCTTTTTTCGTCAAGACAGACCAAAATAGAATGTTCAATGTTCCGCTTGTATGTTCACAACACAACACTTTCTATTGATATGTCCTGAATTGGAAGGTTGTGTGTGTATTATGTGCAATACACACAGGGTCTGTATCATTGAAATAAGCAGTGTCACAAGAACATTAAATAGTAAAATGTTAAAATTAAATTGATAATTGCTAAAATAACATCTCCTGCTTAATTGTATAATTTGTATATTCAGCTCCTGCCCTTGTATGTAATGGACATCTTGGGCCATATTCCCGGAATACCTGGAGTGTTTGTGTCGTGCATCTTCAGCGGAAGTTTGAGGTAATTTATCGTATTCTGACATTTCACAATTCATAATTAATGTCTCTTTCGCCTGTATAGGCTTAACCGAAGTATTCATGGGATATAATCATGGGTGGTCTAATCACTGTCGTGCGTCCCTCAGGCCTGCCAGAAACCCATGATCGTGGAATCACAGATTCGCACAAGTTAAGTTAGCACAATAGCGCTCGTGGACTTCACCTAACAGGTAAATAGAGGTCATTACACGAGTGTGTTTGTGGATGGTAAATATCCTGCATCAGGATTAAACATTGTATTTAGCGAGCCTTCGCGAGCTAAATACATAGTGGTTATTCCTAATACAGGATATTTACCATTCCCAAACAGTCAAGCGTGATAACCTCTTTGTCATATAATGTCATTCTTTTATTCTGTGCTTGAAAATCGTTTTCCTGGAATGCGCGCATTAATATTTATTACGTCACAGGGTAAGTGATGTGTCAGTCGGACAGTGACAGTAACCAATATAGTTCCAACTGAAATCTGTTTCTTATACAGTGTCGAAGCAACTTATACGCAAAACAACAATTGTTTTTACTTGCCTTTCGCGGTAATCCATAGTTCTTTCCGCTTGAGTAACTGCACTTTGTCAAAGGGAAGCTACTCTAACCCTAGTCTATGAGACGTCACGGCCACGTTCAGACGTTGTTGACAGTCGGCCTGCCCTGTCATAACGTTAAGAGGTTCAGTCAGATGTACACACAGCGACGAAACGAAACAAGGTAACAATTCAAACATATTTCGGCCAAATCCAACTGTTTTAATTTGTGGAAAAGGTTTCAAGCCACAGAGTTCTACAAGCTCAGATATGGCTACTGATCCCGCTTGGCTAGGCCTAGTGCCCTCGCGAAATTGGTTCGAAATTTATATCTTCAAAGTTGCCATAACTTTTAAAATGCCTTAGCAACGTCACAGCAAGACACTGATTTTCAGTATATTAGACTGTTCTTTTGATAATGATAGCAACTATCCCTGTAGTTTCTCCAGATTCCCGATGGTTAATACTGACTCGATCGCCGAATGACAAGGGCGACGCCATGTTTGTTTATAAACACTGAAAGTAGTCCCTACTTGACCTTTGATATTTGCATCTCTATCCGCATATGACCCAAACGGATATCGTTTTTATCCGTTGGCTTTATCCTGCCGAGAAACCTACCCATTATACGAAAAACGTCTAAGATCTGCATCAATTAAGGCATCACGTCAGGTGGCCCTGGTATGAATACTGTACGGTTCATATCGGCCTTTTACCAAACTCACAAACAATTTTTTAGCAAGATAATCACCGTAACCAATATAATCAGTAGTGAAGTGTTACTTGATATTAACAGTTTTTTGTTCCTGCGTTTAGATTGTTTGATATAAAGTATTTGTTTCATTACATATTTTGAAATATGTTTTTTTGGTAAAATTTTGTTTTCATTGAGCAGCAGATCAGACTATCAATGGAAAGCATTGAAGCGATCTTTCTCTGCAAAAGTAGGTACTATATCAAAGAGATCGGATGGAATGGGGGCAAAGTAAATGAACAGCCCTCTTCTGACACAAGACATCCTACTTTTTACTTCAGCTAAATCAATGTCAGGCTGCTCCGTGTCACGTTACTCCTTGGTCAGTCTGGACATCCAAAATGTCCTATCAAGACTACCCTAAATTGCTACCCTAAATAACTTAGAGCTACTTGTGTAGGCTAGTGTATTGCTGTTTGTGACTGGCACAACTAACTTGTGTTTACCATCGAGTACATATTATTCAAAAATAGCATTTCCATCTCTTTGTTGATCAGTGATATTCTCTGAATGGGTGAGTAGTGTCACATCGGCATTTTAATCTCTCAATGAACACGATTCATCAGATGTGATTTGAAACTTCACTACAATCAATTATCCTCGTTCAATCACTACATTTCCTACATGTGCCGTCACATCTTTCTCTCTCTTCCTCAGCACCATATCCTCCTCCTTGAACGCCCTGGGAGCCATCATTCCCTGCGACTTCATCAAGCCATGCTTTCCCAACCTTTCTGATAGGACCATGACCATTCTTTCGAAGGTTACAGGTAAGTAGGAAAAATCCATATTTTTGGTTGTTTGACGTATGGCGTAAAGGTCATCTGATCATATTCATGCATATGACCATCAAAATGTATTTGAGCAATACTCATATCGTATGTACACATGGCGAGCCGGTTTCACAATCAGTGCTTAGAAAGCTCCCCATGAAGAGTCCGGACAGGCGCAACATTGGGACACTTAGGAGGTGCCGTCCTTGTTGAAAGTAATAGGTACATGTATAGAAAAACACAACGATCGATGGATGGACAATGGGCGGACGACGGCTACGAAAGGACAACACGCCCTTCCACCTACGTTTCAGAAAAAAACTATTTGAGGAATTAAAAGTATCTCTGACGGAATCATCGTTAGCGTTAGTACGTCACACCGAAGACTCTGGTACACTGTTCGAAGTCCATTTCTGGTGTCCCCCATGATGACGTGGTTGAAATAGTTTTAAAAGTGGTGTAAGACATTATTCAGTCACATTACACAGTCACTGATCTTTTACCAAACATATTCAGATTCGGCTAGTACTATAATGCTTGTGATTTAGGAAAGTATGTGAAGTATCACGTGGTTTCTCATGTACAGTGTCTAATATTTACTTATTTATTTTTACAGTTGTCGTATTCGGGGGCGTTGCTATTGGCCTCGCCGCCCTCGTCTCTCAACTTGGGTCTGTGCTGCAGGTATGTTCACGAATTACAGACTGCCAATTTTAACTGCATGCAGAGCGTGTTAGTGTAAGGAAGTATTTGTTATAACCCAGATGCCTCTGCTAAATATGCCCTGAAAGATCCCGAACGATTCAGGGGCACAGCTGATGAAAGAGCAGATCCGCAGTACACTGTTGTGATTGTAACTGATATGAACTGTTGTTTAAGGCCGTCGACATAAATAATCTAACTTTATCCAAGCGGGCTGTAAATAATCGAGACTGACTGACTGACAGCCATGAGGTACTATTCTACCCGGTACCTACGGGGATCGTAGTACAAGGTGGTTCTAACGTGTGGCACTGTTCGCCGACTTCGTCTATGACCAATCATCGGCCATCATGATACACCTGACAGTGTTTTATTGCTAACTGAGGTGTAAAACGTCCGGATCCATTCCTTTATTCTGTATTAATGTCCAAACAAAATTCTTCTGGAACTGGTAACGATGGTTACGAACGTGGCTCGTGTTTCTGGAGACGAAACCATCAACTTAGAAACATAGAAGCTGAACGTACTTATAGTACACTGTTCGCATACATAATCTGTAACATACATTTACGTTAAAGCGGTTTGGATGTGTTATCAGACTGTCTCAAATGGCTGCACGATTGTTGATGTGTCGCTAGGCACTCATGCAGGTCCAAACAGTTTTAAAATGAATATCAGGTGGTAACGAAATAATCGTTGAAGCATATTTTATACACAAACCCGACTGCTCACCAAATACTTGTCTTTCCACAGGCATCTTACACTGTGTACAGCATCATCAATGGTCCGTTGTTTGGGTTGTTTATTCTCGGCATGTTCTTCCCCTGGGCAAACGCATGGGTAAGTTTGTTTGTTTGTTTGTTGTTTATCGCCGCACTCAGCAATATTTCAGCTATATGACGGCGGTCCGTAAATAATCGAGTCTGGATCAGACAATCCAGTGATTGACATCATGAGCATCGATCCACACGAAACAAACATCTCTGATATTCATTTTGTACAACGGTGTCGTTGATTAAACATTTCTATTGCTATCACGAGTGTCAGAAATGCACTATCCTATTATACCTTTACATAAGGCCAGACATTCCGTACAGCACCGCTCGCCTTGTATCTCTGTTTCTAAAGTGAAATCGCAACTCAGGCACAAAAACTTCATATCTTCCTTGCCTGGGGTGATCTTGCTACCGATCGCAATACATGACACCTCTAGTTATTGCTATGAAATAATATCGACCGAAACCTGTCGACTTCGAAAGCAACTGAGCACAAAAGGCAGACGTCAGACCCACACAGAAAGGGTGTGTGTCGGAAAGCAGCGGTCTGATTGGTCGATTGCGCGGAGTACAAAGGGTAAAGATGTAAAGACTTGTACGGAGTGTCTGGCCTTATGTAAAGGTATAATATGATAGTGCCTTTAGAAAAAGAAATATTTAAGTAACGACACAAGGGCCTGTGGGCAGGAGTACTGCTGTGCGGCGTCAGGCGACAAAACACACGGGTGTGTCGCGCTATCATTTTCGCGAACACCAGGTGTCATTACTGATTTTCAGTGATTCATTCAGATGATTTCCATATGGCCTTGTCAAATTGCCTGTTCCGCACAATGGAATCTGTTTCGGCGGTATAATCGCGAGAGAGAGAGAGAGAGAGAGAGAGAGAGAGAGAGAGAGAGAGAGAGAGAGAGAGAGAGAGCGCTTATTTTCTGGCGTTGACGTTTTACATTTACATGGTGAATGGTGTAAATTTCGTATTTATGACTTCTTATTCATTTGTAACAAAATTATGGTTATAAATTGTTGTATTTTTATATCAATTTGTGAGTTGTGACATATAAAAACGTTCCCTTTTTACAGTTTTCTTAGGAGTATGTGTTATGCATTATCTGTTGTAAAGGGGTGAGGTAATGATAATATCTTAGTAGTGTAGTAACAGGTTTCTTATTTCATATATGCAATTCAAACTTTGATAGGAATACATCAACTTAATACTACACTGACTATTTATTATATGATTATGAACAAGTGTATCCAAAGTTAGTACAGAAAGTATCAAATGTGGGCATGCAAATATATATGCAAATGAAAAAATAATGTATGAAATTATTGTATATTCACACATTGTAGGGAGCGTTTGTTGGCGCTCTGACCTCCTTGACCTTCATGTGCTGGATCGGATTCGGTGCATTCGCCAACAAGGTTTCCACTGCCATACCTTCCCCTGTCTTCACACACGGCTGCAACTGGTCCGTCACAACGACGGCGATGACTATCACAACAACGCTAGGGACTACAACCACACCTTCTACAGGCTCCACCGAAATGACAACGGTTGCAGCGTCAAGGTATAAAAAGTTTCCGCGAGGCTCTGAAATTCGTTTGGCACAGTTGCGCCCCTTAGTTGTGCACGGATTCGCTGAAGCATGTATAACTGGAATTCTGTCGAAAACGATGATACACTAGTAAATGTACTCATGGAAGCCAACACCGAAACCCACAATTTCACATGTACATAGAACAGAAGGGAATGGAACCTCCTACCTATGTATTCCTTCCAGCTGTCTGTTCATACCAATGTACATGCATTCTTACTTTCCAGCGATCCGTTCATGTCGATGTACATGTATTCCAACGTCGTTCATACCGATTTATCCCTTGGCTACTTTCAAGCGATCCGTTCATATTGATGTATTCCTACTTTGCAGCAATCCGTTCAAACCGATGTATTCCTACTTTCCAGCGATCCGTTCATATTGATGTATTCCTACTTTCCAGCGATCCGTTCATATTGATGTATTCTACTTTCCAGCGATCCGTTCATATTGATGTATTCTACTTTCCAGCGATCCGTTCATATTGATGTATTCCTACTTTCCAGCGATCCGTTCATATTGATGTATTTTACTTTCCAGCGATCCGTTCATATTGATGTATTCTACTTTCCAGCGATCAGTTCAAACCGATGTATTCCTACTTTCCAGAGATCCGTTCAAACCGATGTATTCCTACTTTCCAGCGATCAGTTCATATTGATGTATTCCTACTTTCCAGCGATCAGTTCATAATGATGTATTCCTACTTTCCAGCGATCCGTTCAAACCGATGTATTCCTACTTTCCAGCGATCAGTTCATTTTGATGTATTCCTACTTTCCAGTGATCCGTTCATATTGATGTATTCTACTTTCCAGCGATCAGTTCATATTGATCTATTCCTACTTGCAGCGATTCGTTCATATTGATGTATTCTACTTCCCAGCGATCCGTTCATATTGATGTATTCTACTTTCCAGCGATCAGTTCATATTGATCTATTCCTACTTGCAGCGATCCGTTCATATTGATGTATTCTACTTCCCAGCGATCAGTTCATATTGATCTATTCCTACTTTCCAGCGATCAGTTCATAATGATGTATTCCTACTTTCCAGCGATCCGTTCAAACCGATGTATTCCTACTTTCCAGCGATCAGTTCATATTGATGTATTCCTACTTTCCAGTGATCAGTTCATAATGATGTATTCCTGCTTTCCAGCGATCCGTTCAAACCGAGGTATTCCTACTTTCCAGCGATCAGTTCATATTGATGTATTCCTACTTTCCAGCGATCAGTTCATAATGATGTATTCCTACTTTCCAGCGATCCGTTCAAACCGATGTATTCCTACTTTCCAGCGATCAGTTCATATTGATGTATTCCTACTTTCCAGCGATCAGTTCATAATGATGTATTCTACTTTCCAGCGATCAGTTCATATTGATCTATTCCTACTTGCAGCGATCCGTTCATATTGATGTATTCTACTTCCCAGCGATCAGTTCATATTGATCTATTCCTACTTTCCAGCGATCAGTTCATAATGATGTATTCCTACTTTCCAGCGATCCGTTCAAACCGATGTATTCCTACTTTCCAGCGATCAGTTCATATTGATGTATTCCTACTTTCCAGTGATCAGTTCATAATGATGTATTCCTACTTTCCAGCGATCCGTTCAAACCGATGTATTCCTACTTTCCAGCGATCAGTTCATATTGATGTATTCCTACTTTCCAGCGATCAGTTCATAATGATGTATTCCTACTTTCCAGCGATCCGTTCAAACCGATGTATTCCTACTTTCCAGCGATCAGTTCATATTGATGTATTCCTACTTTCCAGTGATCAGTTCATAATGATGTATTCCTACTTTCCAGCGATCAGTTCATATTGATGTATTCCTACTTGCAGCGATCCGTTCTAACCGATAATGCGATTCCCGACATGTGTACAATGCGTGAAGCCCATTTCTGGTGTCCCCCGCCGTGATATTGCTGGAAATTGCTAAAATGGCGTAAAACCATACTCACCCACTCACTGTTCATACCAGTGTATATATATTTCTACTTTCTGGCGACCCGTTATAACCGAGATGGCCCTACTTTCCAGCAATCCGTTCATAACGATATACATGTGTTTCCACTTTCCAGCAATCCGTTCATAACGATATACATGTATTTCCACTTTCCAGCAATCCGTTCAAAACGATATACATGTGTTTCCACTTTCCAGCAATCCGCTCATAACGATATACATGTGGTTCCACTTTCGAGCAATTCGTTCATAACGATATTAATGTATTTCTACTTTCTAGCGATCCGTTCATACTGATGTCCATGTAATCCATGTAATCCTACTTTCTGGCGACCCGTTCGTACCGATGTATTCCTACTTTTCAGCAATCCGTTCATACCGATGTACATGTATTGCTTCTTTCTAGCGACCTGTTCGTATCGATGTATTCCTACTTTCCAATGATCGGTTCCTACCGATCTATCTCTACCTCTCAGCGACCCGTCTATACCGATGTATTCCTACTTTCCAGCGTTCCGTATATACAACTAATTCCTCCTTTCCGGCGATCCATTCATACTGATGTGTTAAGTCTCACTTTCCAGCGGTCCGTTCATACGAAATATGGTATATATCTATTCTAATTTTAATTTACTACTTGTGTAGGCCAACGGCCAATGGTACATTTGAGGGTCGACAGAAGACAGTATGACCAAACAGCGATTCAGCACGTGGTATTTCTAATTAAAGAGTATTCTCGGTTTGACATTAAAATGTTTAAATTTAGATAAGGCGGGATAGACATCAAACTTGCCTTGAATATACTGCTGGCGAAGGTTAGCATTTGTGTTGCATAATTGAGTGAGTATGGTTTTACGCCGCATTTAACAATTTTCCAGCAATATCACGGCAAGTGACACCAGATGTGGGCTTCACACATTGTACCCATGTCGGGAATCGAACCTTGGTCTTCGGGATGACGAGCGAACGCTTTAACCACAAGCCTACCCGACCGCCCATATATGCGTTACAAATTAACAAGAGATTTTATTCTTCCTCCACATAGCCCATGATACATGCCTTACAAAACCGCTGGTCTCTGTTGGTAATCTACCTGTTTATGTATGTAAAGAATGCGAGTTATAGTGGAATCGGGCCATTGTCGATCTAGATTTATCTGAATAAAGCGACAAACTCCTTTCCATTTCCAATAACAATCTCTGCATAAGCCTGAGTCGATTGTACAACTGATAAATAATATTCCACAGTGAAGGTTGATTTAAAAAGAACATAATGCTGCTTCTTTGAGCCCACAACAATTGAGTGAATACCTACTACAATCACTCCTAGGAAAGTTGACCGCCTCCGTGGTCTTGTGGTAGAGCGTCCGCCCGGGGAGCGGAAGGTCCGGGGTACGATCGCCGGTCGCGTCTTACCAAAAGATGTTAAATGGTACTTGTTGTCACCCTGTCTGACGCTCGGCATTGAGGGGCTAAAACAAGGACTGGTCGGCTCGGAGACAGTATACTGTGTCTGAGTGGGGTATTCATATGAAACTGCGACAAGGTATCTCAGTGAACTAGCACTATAATTGGCATCAGTCCGGACAAGTACAAGCAGCCAAACACACGCGCGCGCGCACGCACACACACACACACACACGCACGCACGCACGCACGCACGCACACACACACGCACACACACACACGTGCATGTACGTCGCTATATAAGTGCAATAATCAAGGAGGCGACGTTAAACCCAACTTCACCTCACCTCAACTAAAAAAGTTAATACGCTTTTGGAGACCAAATACAGTGTCAGCAATAAGAGTAATGTTGTCCGCAAACAACAGAAAAAGGTCTATCAGGTGTGGGTGGAATTGGATTCCTTGAGAACAACCAGATTCGATCTCTTTTGCTAAACCATTTATGAACATATTAAATAAAATCGGACTCAAGATGCATCCCTGCCAAACACCATGGTAACATTCAAAACTGTCGGAAAAGTGTTGGTCATATTCAATACGAGAATACACACATTTATAGATAGATTTAACGATGTTATACATCTTTGGAGGAATCCCATTATCATTTAAAACCATCCATAACTTAATCCTTCTATAGAATCAAACGCTTCAGAGATGTCCACAAAGAGAGTATATATTTTACCCTTTTCTTATATATATATAACGCTGAATCACTGATTGAATAATTAACATGTTATCTTTTGTAGAGTAGCCTCTAAGAAAACCTGCCTCTGATTCCACTAGTTTATCATATGCCTCACTCCAAAAATGTAATCTTGTATTGAGAATGGAAATATAAACCTTACTAAATATACTCAAAATTGTAATGCCTCTGTAGTTTGTGTGTTGATGTCACCCTTCTTATGCAATGGGACTATTATTCCATGGGACCAATCAGAGGGAAAATACGTGGAATCGAACATAACATTGAACAATAATGTCATGAATGGGACCAGGAAATAAGTCCATCAGCGCTTCAAGCCGATTTACCCAAATTTAGACAATTAATAGAATTGGTAATCTCTTGTTGAAGGATAGGAGCATCAATAGATTGAGACATCTCATCAGAAATATTATTATCTGCATCATCGGGCTCATAACTGACAGAACATTTCTTCAAAATACTTCAACCAATGGTCGACACTTAATCCAGGTTTAGAAAAAAAGTAGGCTTCATTGATCAACGCTTCAGTAATGACAAAAATAATTTACCATTGTCAATAATTTCCATAATGGCCTTCCGGATTCTTTCTTGGTAACACATCTTTCTCTCACGAATAACGGGTGTGTATTGGTTTCTTGCTTTTATAAAATAATTAATAGTTCTCTGGTTTTTGTACTGTCTGAAAACCTTTGGAAACCTTAATCTCACAGAACGATAATAACTGCATAGCTTTTAAAACAAACATCTTTGCTAATATTCCTTTAATGCATTGTGCTGCATTACACAAGAGATTCGTGTTTGACACAATTTGACTAGAATTGATAAGATCTATACATTGGTCAAAGATAGCTAGCGAGCTTGCCGTGAGAAGATTGTCACTAAACATCGACGCTTTGTTATCATCCCAAACATAACGGTAGCTGTCACAATTTGCACGTGCTTCACACATACATCCGGCGGTGGCTGATCACGAGACTGAAATCTACAGATGAGTGGCATGTGCTCCGATTCTGACCTGGAAATGACCTCAATAAGGCTACATAATTGTAAACGAGGTAGTTGATGATACGATGTAGTCTACACCATATATTAGGACATGTAATCCTACTATCTAGCGATCCGTTCATACCGATGTATTACTATTTTCCAGCAATCCGTTAATGCCTCTGTATTTCTACTTTCAAGCGATCTGTCTTCATACCGATGTACATGTACTCCTACATTTCAGCGACCCGTTCATACCGATGTACAAGCTTTCTTATCTCTACTACACGCCGACGGCGATGGCAGCGCTCGTCATCGTGGGAATGGTCGTCAGCCTCATCACTGGTCTGCTACTAATGCTATAAATCATAAATAAGATTTACTGAGCAGCCTAAGAATCAAGTTATACCTAGTTAATTTTATAATGTGTTTGATTTTCAGTTGAAAATAGCTTAAGTTACCGGTATTTTATATGTTAAAATACTTTACTGGGGCTTAGTCATCATAAAGAATACTTCTACATCTTTATATTTATAAATATTATCTGATTTCTAAAAAAAATAAGTGAATCCTAAACATGCATAATACACAACTTATCATTGAAAAACAATACATTTGCTTTTCTTTGGTTTAATTTACAACATTTCAAACATGATAGAGGTCAATTGGTTTCATATTCATTTCTTTCTCCAGTCTTCATTGAACCAATTTTATTGTTACATACAATTACCCAGTCACAGATTACCTTTTACAAACTGTTGCAGTAATGAGTGATTATTTAATAGACAAAATCATATTTTAACAAAGATTCTTTCAATTTTCAATTTCATAAAAAAACAATTCGGTATACTTTCGTTTGCCCCTCAGCTGATATAAAAATAATCAATGTCCATATTTGCTGTGATTAATGATTTAAAGAGACGTCTACATCTTAACTAAAATTAGATGAATTTAAATGAACCTATATAAAATATCTCGGTGATTTCCTTGATTTTTCACAATGCACACGAGAATTTAGTAAATAGAATTCATCAAAATTATTGTCATTTTTGTCATGTTTAAGGTCCGAGACGTCCGGGGAGTATTGACCCTCGCCTACTCTGCCCTCTGTTTGACCGCCTCTTCCCTTGTATGCCAGAGAAGATACTCAGACCTCTCAGATGCGGGGTCGACCATAAAGGGGTAGGTCACAGCATACGTGTAACCTAATGCCACCCGGCAGTCAGTCATCTATTCAGTGTGTATGAGCAGGTCAATTTCATGGACGTGAGGAGTCAATAACACCTTTCACCCAGTGACAAACACTGACACTGACACACTTCCCGTTGTAGAACAGGTTCTCGCCCTTACAAGTCTACGCGAGGTGAGTGGTAGGAGAAAAGTGCAGTGTTTGACGTCGTCCCTTGACGAGAGATACCCTTTGATAGTTTTACATGTGTTCAAGAGACCGTGGTATAGATTCTATACAGCTGAAGGTGGAGTATCATCCCACATTAACCCTACTGACAATACCAGGGAGTGGCTGGATTTACTTGTTGTTCATACTTATATGCCAAAGTCAACATTATACGAAGTATGCTGCAGATCATGGCCGTTACAAAAATCCTGGAAAAATATCAGATGTCCTCAAAATGTATTTACAGAAACATTCGTTCACTTGACATACCTTGTGTTCTTAAAAAGATGTTTTGCTCCCCGTTTGGCTGAATAAATTATTTGTCTCAGCTAATAATCCCATCTCACTTGATCAGAGCCTTCTGCCATGATCTTTTCCCTGGTATTAGAGCCGTCCTAAGTTACTCCATCGTAGAATGATTATCAGGGTGAATCTGGGCAAACAAATGGACGCTTCTCTTCACAGACGAGTGGTCTTCCTGTACGCTTTCCCTTGTACAGCAGGCTTTACAGTGGCTATCAAAGTTAACCCTTTCATTCAACTTTCAGAAGTACAGGAAAGAGGTTTATAAAGAAGCTGACGAATTACCAGAGAAGATTCAGCCCGTCGATGAATACGACGTTGAGACGAAGTCGCCCACTGACGTGGAAGCAGTTGAGGTGAACGGTGGCGCCATCAATCAAGGATTTGTCCCGATTAGCGAGAATACCTCGGATCCGGAAGTATTTGTTACACATTTGTAGGAGCTGTCTTGAATTGTTTTTAAATCCCAAATTCATCTTTATTGTAAAACATAATATTATGGTCCTTGTAAAGCGATGTACCAAATGAATTCATTTGTGAATGGTTTTTTTTGCTATGGCAGCTTGAACTCAGCTTGGCAGTGACAAACGTCTGTACATACTGAAACTAAACAGCCTTATTGTCGAGCTGATCATATAAACGTATTGTACATGCATCAGTCACTTACACTACATTGCTTGTAGAAGGACCATCTTAACCATTACTTGGTACAAAACTGAACAAAGCTAATTTCGACAGGCTTACTACATACTACCAAATTGTTACATTTGCACATTTATGTTGTTCATATATGTAATCATTGTATGAAACGTGTAATACAACAGCCGTGCTGTCTTCAGTTGGATGTTTATAGTTACACACAAGGTTATGTACCCATGATATTAATTATTGTCATCCCTATACTAAGACGCACATATCTATGGGTGACAATACATATCATTAAACTGAAACTGTATATATATTTTAAAATCTGTTATTTAAACCTATGTACTGTATCCTATTTAACAATTTTGTCGTTTTTGACGTGTACCACAGGCGGGGCAGGATAGGCTCACCTTTTCGCCAACTCCTGGTGACATTTCTATGTGATAGTGATTCATGAACACATGCTAATGATATAGTCGGAATCGAACAATGGAGATTGTGGAAACGTCTTTGTTGCTTTAATTATATGATTTTAATTTATATATAATGTTAAAACATATCTACAGTCATGACAATGAAGTAGGACCCTATTAGACAATCACATTTAAAAAGCACTTCTTAAATGCTGTACTCTCTTTGCTGAGATATTAGCGCATTGCCATCATATGTTTGCCAAAGTTATTGTTGAATCATGTTCTGCATGTAGTTTCTTTTAGATTATTTTTAAAGCCCTTGAACATGGTCACTTGCTCAAACGTATGCTTTATCTTATTTTATCATGTACCCAGTTTGTTTAAAGTAATATTTTTGTACTCCCGTAACAAATATAAAGGTTAATTTATCGTAATTTTAATTTTGGTAATACATTTTATATATTGTGCATGTTACTCGCTTTGGGGTTTTCTATATAATGGCTACTTACAAAAGTAAAGGCACGAAAGAATTAAAATTGTGTTGTCAATTGATAAAGTCTTATTAAATCTAAGACTATTCTCAAAATGCATATATATCGCCTTGTCTAATAATTAGATTATCCAGGTTAGTTTTCGTTATGTCAAAATTACAATGCCAGTTGCTGAAACAGTATGCATAATAATAAGTTAAATTCATGTGTTTCCGCCGAGCACATACCATACATACTTGTCGTAGGAGGCGATCAGATAGTTCTTGTTGTCAGACTCAGTGACTTGGTTGAAGTTGTGTCATCGTACGACGCCAGCATGGGACGTTATAATAGGACGATTATATGAATCACTATTTTTTTTCTGGCCCAAACTCGATTATTTAAAGGTTGAAATCATATAGATGGAATATTTGTGAGCATGGCGTTAAACAGACAAACAAATCTCAACAGGTCACATTACAATACAGAGAACAATGTATGTACTCATATCTCATATCGTCACTCGTGGGGATTCCGGGTTAGCAATGGCAAGCTTTGCTCGTCGTATGTGACGGCTTAATGGATGGGGTAATAAGGCCCGGGGACCTCGTTACTGGCGTGTCAAAGCGTCCCGGCGGCCTTGATCGTTGCTCATAATATCAATGACTAGATTGTCTGGTCCAGACTCTGCAGAGTTGCGTCCCTTGGACACGCCAGAAACCTATGATTGTGGGTTCGAATCCCGGTTCGCCCCGATTATGTTTCCAGGTTTGTCAGCACCATACCCGTGCTCGTGGGTTTCACCGAAGTGGTAAACGTCTGAGACCTGCATCACTTCGGGCTTTCCTCCCACATTAAGCTGACACGCCGCGATATAACTGGAATACTGTTAAAAAGCAGCGTTAAACCCAACTCACTCACTCACTCACTCTGGTCCAGACTCGATTATTTGCAGGTCGGCGTCATTGAACTATTGCTGAGTGCGGCTTATAAGCTGATTTATTTGAACAACAAATGACGCACCGTGATTAAAGAACACGCTTAGAAACATTCTATGCATCATTATTGGATTCGAACTTGGATTGGAACAAATTGGTGAAACGTGTCTTTCTGAACACGTGTTAAGAACATGGACGCTTGTAATGTGAAACATGGACTGTTGCTTGTTAAAGGTATCCATGGGAGCATAACGTGGCAATAAACGTCAGTTATTTGAGTGACTCCGTATGCACCATGTTCAGATTAGGTATGAACCATCGTCATCGACCGTATGTCATGATTAAAACTGGTAGAACGACAACCCGAGTGGTGAGTGATTCTACAGGTTCACTACACTACGACCTACTGTCTTACAGACAAACAGTGCGCAGGATCACACAAGAAGCGGATGTCAAGTGCAATGTCGTTACGTGAAGGCAGGGTTATCGTCCGTTCTCACCTACCAGAGTCAACTACTACCGATAGTCGGTTATCAGTGGCAAATCTCGTGATTAGGTGCCGACGTCCATACTTTGGGTGTGCGTTTCTTTTGGAATTGAGTATATAAGCAATTACATGACGCAATATGGCAGCAGCGTTTGTTATAAGTTGATGTGTCGTGATTGTCAGTGGCGGCATAAGACTGAAACGCTCGTAAAATATTGATTTTAACAGGATGTGTTATGAGAGTTACCTCCCTAGATTGTTGACAAACTAAGCAAGGTTTATCTATCCAGAAGTGTCGTGTTGTGACAGTTTCTAGAAGGCTGCTCTACCTACATTTATATGGGTGACAATACCTAAAAGCATGGGTTTAACTCATGAAACTGAAACTGTATCTTTATCTTAAAATCTGTTATCAATTTAAACTATGTACTGTATGCTATTTAACAATTTTGTCGTTTGTGACGTGTACCACAGGCGGGGCAGGATAGGCTCACCTTTTCGCCAACTCCTGGTGTCAATTCTATGTGATAGTGATTCATGAACACATGCTAATGATATAGTCGGAATCGAACAATGGAAATTGTGGAAACGTCATTGTTGCTTTTATTATATGATTCTAATTTATATGTTATGATAAAAATTATCTACAGTCATGACAATGAAGTAGAGCCCTATTAGACAATCACGTTTAAAAAGCACTTCTTAAATGCTGTACTCTCTTTGCTGAGATATTAGTGCATTGCCATCATATGTTTGCCAAAGTTAGTGTTGAATCATGTTCTGCATGTGGAAGTTTTTTAGATTTTTTTTAAAGCTCTTGGAATATGGTCACTTGCTCAAACGTATGTTTTATCTTATTTTATCATGTACCCAGTTTGTTTTAAATAATATTTTTGTACTCCCGTAACACATATAAAGTTTATTTTATGGGTTTTTTTATTTTAGTAATACATTTCATATATTGTGCATGTAACTCGCTTTTGGCTTTTCTGTATAATGGCTACTTACAAAAGTAAAGGCACGAAAGAATTAAAATTGTGTTGTCAATTGATAAAGTCTTATAAAATGTAAGACTATTCTCAAAATGCATATATATCGCCTTGTTTAATAATTAGATTATCCAGCTTAGGTTTCGTTATGTCAAAAATTGTAATGTCAGTTGCTAAAATAGTATGCATATTAATAAGATGGATTCATGTGTTTCCCCCGAGCACACACCAGTGGGATCCCCGGTTAGAGAAGGTTCCAAGCAGCCTACCTGTCGTTCGCTGGGACGTTTTAATGGGACGCTCATAATATGTATCACATACCGGTGGGGTCCCCGGTTAGAGTAGGTTCCGATGCAACCTGTATTTGTCGTAAGAGGCGACCAGATAGTTCGGGTTGCCAGACTCAGTGACTTGGTTGAAGTCGTGTCATCGTACGACTCCAGCATGGGACGTTGTGATGGGATGCTCATTATATGAATCACTCTTTTTTCCTGGCCCAAACTCGATTAAGCCCCCTTTACACAGGGCTGCGACCTTTGTGCCACCTTTGAGCGATCAAAAACTGGCCAGGACGCTCGATGGTCGCCTAAACCTAGAAAATCATGTTTCTATGCAACTGCTCCAGCAGTTGTTCAACAGTAACTGCTCGAGTTTTTCAGCGTCTGCAATCACAATAAAACACTGCAGGTACACGCCCTCTATTTATAGGCAGAATGAGGGGGCACTACAGGTAGTTCAAAGAAGGCGGTAAAGAGGCAGAAGCATTGCCATGGTGTCTCAAGCGTTGCCATGGTCGCCAAGTTTAGGCACGGCTGTCGCCACAGTGATCGTTCAATGCACGCTGTTGGTCGCCCAAAGGAGGCACAAGGGAGGCAGAAGCATCGCCCAGATTGACGGGAAAATATTGCAGCAGAACGCATCTATTACCTGGCGACCACTATGCCTTCATTCTGCAACAACGGCAATGCTTGTGCCCCCCTTCTGCCTCCTTTGAGCCACCTTTGAGCAACCAACCTCCTCGGCGACCTTTGTGCGACTGTTTTGACTGTTCAAAAATTCACGGCGACCATGGCGTCAATGGCGATGTCTGAACCTCCTGTGTACCACCTTGGAACAACCTAAGCAACCATTCTGCCTCCTTTGAGCCTCCAACGACGACCTGGCCAATTTTAGGGTCGCACACGGGAGGCTCGAAGGTCGCCATCCTGTGTAAAGGCCCCATTATTTAAAGGTTGAAATCATATAGCTGGAATATTTCTGAGCGTGGCGTTAAACAGACAAACAAATCTTAACAGGTCACATTACAATACAGAGAACAATGTATGTACTCATATCTCATATAGTCACTCGTGGGGATTCCAGGTTAGCAATGGCAAGCTTTGCTCGTCGTAAGTGGCGGCTTATTGGATCAGGAAATAAGGTCCGGGGACCTAGTAATTGGCGTGTCCGGCGGCGAAGATCTTTGCTCATAATATCAATGACATAATATCAACGATTATTTGCAGGCCACAGCCATTGGACTATTGCTGAGTACGGCTTTAAACAAGAAACGTACATGCTGTCGGCACTCTACCATACAAACAACTGATCTCAATAGTGTGCTCCACAACAGCACATCTCATGTTGCACCTTCCGATCTCCATTGTTATCAAATGTTTGTTTTGTTTGCTGTATAACGCCGCACTCAGCAATATTCCAGCTGTATGACGGCGGTCTGTGTAAATAATCGAGTCTGGACCAGACATCCCAGTGATTGATAACATGAGCATCGATCCACGCAATTTGGATACGATGACATGCATCAACCAAGTCAGCGAGCCCGACCACCCGATCCCGTTAGTCGCCTCTTACGACAAGCATCGTCGCCTTTAACGGCAAGCATGGGTTGCTGAAGACCTATTCTACCCCGGATCTTCACGGGTCCGTTATCCAATGAAACTGATTTATTTGAACAAGAATGACGCACCGTGATTTCAAAACACGTCTAAAAACATTTCATGGATCATTATTGGATTCGAACTTTGATTGGAACAAATTGGCGAAACGTGTCTTTCTGAACACGTGTTAAGAACATGGACGCTTGTAATGTGAAACGTGGACTGTTGCGTGATGAAGGTATCCATGGGAGCATAACATGGCAATAAACGTCCGTCAGTTATTTGAGTCGACCATATGTCATGATTAAAAATGATAGAACGACAACCCGAGTGGTGAGTGATTCTACATGTTCACTGCACTACGACCTACTGTCTTATTGCACGTAATACACAGACAAACAGTGCGCAGGATCACACAAGAAGCGGATGTCCAAGTGCAATCTCGTTACGTGAAGGCAGGGTTATCGTCCGTTCTCACCTACCAGAGTCAACTACTACCGATAGTCGGTTATCAGTGGCAAATTTCGTGATTAGGTGCCGACGTCCATACTTTGGGTGTGCGTTTCTTTTGGAATTGAGTATATAAGCGATTACATGATGCAATATGGCAGCAGCGTTTGTTATGAGTGGATGTGTCGTGATTGTCAGTGGCAGCATAAGACTGAAACGCTCGTAAAATATTGACTTTAACAGGATGTGTGATGAGAGTTACCTCCCTTGATTGTTGACAAACTAAGTAAGGTTTATCTATCCAGAAGTGTCGTGTTGTGACAGTTTCTAGAAGGCTGCTCTGCCTATATAAGAGCGACACGAGGACGATTCGATGCCTTTTACGTCGTGACTTCCAACAATAGTTCAAGATTCAAGAACCGAGCACGGGTCTCTTACAAGACAGTGACAGTGACACATTTTAGACATCCGTGAGTGCACTGACACGTGTTTGTTTGTTGTTTAACGCCGCACTCAGCAATATTCCAGCTATATGACAACGGTCTGTAAATAATCGAGTCTGGACCAGACAATCTAGTGATTGACATCATGAGCATCGATCCACGCAATTGGGATACGATGACATGCATCAACCAAATCAGCAAGCCTGACCACTCGATCCCGTTAGTCGCATTTTACGGCAAGCATGGGTTGCTGAAGACCTATTCTACCCCAGATCTTCACGGGTTGCAATGACACATGTGATACGTCATTTATTGCTGCTGCCACTTGCTTGACTCATTCTCTTTCCTGTTGAGATTGTTAACTAAATACTGTGTGTTTCAATGTAATTCAGTGATTATTCGTTGATCATTTGATCATTTGATCATTTACTGATTTCACAATTTAGCTCTACACGAACCGATTTCTGACTTAACGTTTGCGTTTCAGTTTGAAAATCACTTCCTAACCATGCGGATTATACTATTGTGAGTCCTCCCGCCTTAAGACAAGTCAAGTATACTTGATGCTCAAATTCTTACAACTGTTTAACAGCCTGGAAGCACCTGGTATAAATATTACATCGAGTGAGTGAATGTTGTTAAACGCGAAGTCAGATGTTATCCAGTTATATCACGGCGCTATGTAAGTAAAGAAGGTGCATCTGAATAAGACAAACACAATGGTTTAACAGTGCTACAACTTTATCATTTAAATGTAGTTTGGATGTATAATTTATAATTTAATTATTTAAAATAAGTAAGATAAGATAAAACTAAAATATTCCTCGTGTAATCGAATACCATGCGCTGTGTGTCTTCAGGTCGTTACACCTTGGTCATGGCGTTGACCTGGAGACGTGTTATTGCATAAGATCAGTTCCACTTCTTGCAAAGTTGCGGTATTCAGCACGTTCTTCTACAACTTTCAGCTTACCTGTATTTCAGGGGGAATAAACTTGAGACCATCATTTGTCCTCTGGATTTTCAAAACAAGATGAAGCATGCACTGGACATGCTCTGAGACATTATGTGTTGGGGGTAAACAACAAGTGTTTGACTCTTGAAGCGTTGAAGAAACTATTGTCTCATACTCCCAACTCTAGTAGTGACTGTCTCTATGTATACACATCCAACAAGCATGTATATGTAAGTTTGCAAGCAAAATACCCACAAAGATAATTGCTATACAATGTATTATTGGAATACAGAAATAGATCCTACCTGTATGCACCCCTAAACCCTGCACCGTATGACAGCGGGATCAATATTTGATTTAAAAGATACGCATGTCTAGTTAGTTATTAACATGATAATTATGGGTATCTTTTAGTTGTTTTAATAGAGAAACTTGTTGTATTGCAATATCAGCATTATTGTTGCTATTAATAGGTTCAAGTGATACTGACCGAAACTTACTTCTGTTAATATACAAAGAGAAACTTATCTTCAAGTAATGTAGTAGTAGTATTGAAGTCTCGTGAATAATATATAACCGTTTTATATCCCTTATGCAAACGTTCATTTGAGTATACAATTTATAATTTGGATGAAGTATAAGTATGTATACTTCATAAGTAGTATAATTCAGAATTACTTATGAATACTCTGTTGGTGACATAAAATGACTTAAATATATGCAGTTCATTTATTGTTTAATGATTCGCCATGTTGCTAATTACTCCACAATGTACATGCTATTACATTAATTTTGCATTTTAAAGATTTCGTATGAAAACTTCTAATAATGTCTAAACTGTAATATGTTGATGACATGTATTATACTATCAGTTCCCTCGTGGTAATAAAAAACATTTTTATATATTTTCAAAAACTTCATTCGTAAATCAAGGAACCTACATCACAAAATTGTGTTGAAGGTCCATCGTCTCAATAACAATGATTAACTAATAGAGTAAATAGAGTACCGAGAGATGAAAAGCAACACAACTATTTGGAAACATGGCGTCGTCATCTGCATCATGTATCGATGACAACTTTATCCCATTACATATTACACTATATTCTTTTGCTTTTCTGTATAAGTTGTCCACATCAATAAACATGGCTTGTGTAGCATAGACCCCTACCCTTGCGTTAAACTCGGGAGCCAGAATACTGTGTCTGAGTGGGGTATTCATGTTCAACTGCGGCATGGTATCTCAGTGCCCTAGCACTACTAATCGGCATCAGTCCAGACTAGTACAAGCAACCACACACACACACACACACACACACACACACACACACACACGTACTTGCACGTCGCTTTAGAAGTGCAATAATCTTGGACGCGACCTTTAACCCAATTTCACCTCACCTTCACCTTTAAACGCACCTGAGTGACCTCTTCTGGTGTCAGTAGGGGGGCCCACACTGTCAATATGTAGTGTGCTTTCAGTCCGTAGCGAGGCTTTAATAGACTGGTGTTTGTATTCATCACGTGTCAAATTCCTGACCTTGTTCACTTTTAATAATAGCATACAGTTGGATAATTTGATGCACGTGTTCACAAGCCGCAATTCTCGTCGCCATATGGCTGGAATATTGACGATGTAAATCACCTTATCATTCATTGGAAAGAGATATGTCACTTACAAACGAACCCCAAAACACAAACACAAACACAGCCGTCCATCCTCCCTGCACCAGCACTACACCCACTCTTGGCCCACACAACCCACAACCACCCAACACTACTCATAATAAGCAGAAAACAGAAAAGCATTCATTTTAAAAAAAATCGAAAACATAAAAATAACACCCTCAGTCACCAAAACCCAACAAACATTTAACAAACTATAAACAGACTAATAGAGTTTACAGCAGGGCGCCTCCTTATTAGGCAACCCATTGCAAAGAAATACCATAGCTTTGCTCACAAGTCCAAACTGTACAGAAAATCCTTCGCCAGCTTTCTGACAGCCATCCAGTCTAAAAGTAAACTCAACTCTTATTACGTAAACATAAACTCAAAATTTGACCCATCACCATGTCATTTTTTAGTACGTTTTTACCGTGTTTCTAACAATGGTGACTGTACAGTGAAATCGAAAGGGTCTCCGAGCAAACGAGCATGAGCTTAATGCGCTCATCGCATCGAATAGGTCTTCAGCAACCCATGCTTGTCCAAAGATCGGGGGGTCAGGCTCACTGACTTGGTTGAAGCTTGTCATCTTATCCCAATTGCGTGTATCAATGCTCATGAAATTAATCACTGAATTGGTCCAGTCCAGATTATTTACAGACCGTCGTAATATATCTAGAATATTGCTGAGTGCAGCGTTAAACAACCAACCAACAATAAACAACTAACAATCTTTAAAATTCAACTGCAGTGAATATTTCTATAGAAACAGTAAATCAAAGAGTTGGAGTCGTACTTTTTGGATTTTAGGGGCGATATGGTTCAATAGAGTATAGCTGATATTGTATATACCTGTGGCTGAGGACGTATTTTTATTCTTATGACTGTTTGTAGTTCTCTTTGGTTGTATACTAGATTGGCTTGTGCTGATATAGGGGTGTATTTTGGGTGTTTCTTTATGTTTTCTTGGAATGCTAGGGGTGGTAGGTGGTTGTGGAATTTTCCCTTAATGGCTTTATTTTTTCCCACAAGGTTCAAGTATTTTGTTTGCCTATTTTATGGATGTTACAAACAGTGTACCAGTGGTTCTTTTTTTATTTTTGCTGCCCTAATAATTTCTTTAGTTTTATTTCTTAGTTGTTTAGCCGTTTGTAACGGGGTCTCTTTGATTAGTTGAACGGGTTTATCCTCCATTTAGGTGCTTTGGATAGTATATGTAAACAGCTACTGGTCTGCTTTTTTTTAAATGTGTGTGTGGGGGGGTGGGGGGGTGGGTGGGTGTGTGCGTGTGCGTGTGCGTGTGTGTAGAGGGGGTGTGGGTGGGGGTGGGGGGGTTGTATTGAGTTAAATGTAATTTAGATTGGGCAATGGTCGTTGCCCCAGGTTATGAACGTCACAGCTTAGTTTTAGAGATACATTATTAGTTATTAGCGACATGTCCACTGCACTGGGATTTTGATGTTGACCATCGGAGATTCTAGTAGGTTGGTTGTCGTTACGGCATATGAGATAATTGCTCTCAATCTAGTGTATAAGGAGCTTGCCATATTTATCCGAATGGTTTTTTTCTGCCCCACAGTGGATGGTGAGCATTCAGGTCTCCTATTAAAAATGTGTGTCGAGTTGTGTAATTGGATGGTACTTCCAGGTTATATTTTGTGAAGGGTTTCGTTTAAGTATGATAATATGTTTATAATTGTTATTTTGATTTTGTTTATTGTAGGGCTGGTAGCCAGGACTTTTAGCGTTTGGCTAGGAGTATCAATTTTATTGCAATAAAGGGATTTTTTTTCATGAATATACCCAGCCCGCCGGAGGGCGAGGTCTACCCTGCCGAATAAAATCATTTTGAAGGCATCTTTTTGAGAAATTCTTGTTTCCCTGAACAGCAATAATAAGTGGCTGAATTTTGTTTAGAGCCATGAGTGCCTAAAGCACATACCCATTTGAGAGGAGACCATTGCAGTTCCACTGTAAAATCACCATGATGGGGGATAATAATTAAAGGAAATAGATTCATTCATATTCGTGGTCCTTGACACATCATCATCGATCACCCAAAACACACAGCCAAAAGAAGCTCAGAACAGAACAGCACTTTATTTCTCCCAGGCCGAGAGCATCGGCATGTGTATCGGTACTAACAGCATTTTACATTGCGGTAAGGTTAACCGGGAGTTTTTACAACTTTTCATTATCATGTGAACAAATTTACACAGTTTCTTTTGGACACATATCTTATGGCAGATAAATAATTGCTAGAATTGCAACACATATGGTCTTTTTGAAAAGTGTTTTGGGATGTACATGTCCCTTTGTTCATTGAAAAAAATACATTTGAAGATATAGTTGAATTCATCTCGAATGTCAAAACTACCCCATAACTTGCATAAACGTTCATTCAACGGAGTATTATTCCATCTCCCTGTTTTTATTGGCAGGTGGTGACTAGATGTCCTAGAAAATAACAATTATAGGATAAGTGGGGAGGAATGTTTATTATTGAGGACGTATGATTTCATGAAAATGATATAAAACTCGGTGATATCCAAAAATGTGAATTACCTGAATTACCATAAAATTGACAAACGAGTGAAAAGTGATATTCATCTTCCATATTATTAAAACTACATAATTCACTGGTTACAAAAACAATTTTCGATGAAATATGTTTGTGTCACAATTAGGATTTATCTGATAAGAATGTCCTCAAACTGTCCAACAATTATGATACGATGACATGCATCAACCAAATCAGCACGCCTGACCACCCGATCCCGTTAGTCGCCTCTTACGACAAGCATAGTCACCTTTTTAGGGCAAGCATGGGTTGCTGAAGACCTATTCTACCCCGGATCTTCACGGGTTAATAATATATCCTGATCAAAGTTAATTCGTATCCAATTTATCTGCATGAATAGCATTTCGTCGCAATGCCAGTCACTGTAGTGCATCCTCTTCAACCAAGTGGCTGAATCTGGGCGTTGTTTGTTCTGCATGTACTATGTATGATTAGTAAAATTACGTTACTCAGTCACTGATCCTTTACCAAACATATTCAGATTCAGCTAGTACTATTATGCTTGTGATTAAGGAAAGTGTGTGAAGTAACACGTGGTTTCTCATGTACAGTGTCTAATATTTACTTATTTATTTTTGTAGTTGTCATATTCGGGGATGTTGCTATCGGCCTCACCGTCTTCGGGTCTCAACCCTGGTCTGTGCTGCAGATGTGTACACGTATCACAAACTGCGAATAACTGCAGGCCGAAGGTATTAGTGTAAGGAAGTGTTTGTTATAAACCAGATGCCTCTGCTTATGTATGCCCGGAAAGATCCAGGCAGATTCAATGGCACACCTTATCCCCAGTACACCATACTTGTCTTTTGAAATGACATGAACTGTGTGAATGTTGTTTAAGGCCGTCGTCATAAATATGCCATCTTTGTTACAGCGGCCTATAAATAATTGAGACTGGACACGGCATACCAGTGTCTGAAAGCATTAACAGCGAAGGGCAGCCAAAGGGTGCTATTCTCCCCGGGTACCTAGACTTATCTACGTTTAAGTGGTTTGGATGTGTTATTAGACTGCCGCAAATGGCTGAAGGTTGCTGATGTGGCGTAGGGCAAATATTACTCGCACAATCAGGTCCAAACAGTTATGAAAAACCAATAAATATCAAATGGTAACGAAATAATCGTTTAAACATATTAACGACGGTCGCAGAGAGTCACTGGATCTGTTCATACCTGTGTGCATATATTCTTATCCGTTCATACCGATGTACATGTATTCCTACCTTCCAGCGATTCGTTCATACCGACCTATTCCTACTTTCCATCGATCAGTTCATACCGATGTACAAGCTATCTTATCTCTACTACACGCCGACGACGATGGCAGTACTCGTCATCTTGGGAATGTTCGTCAGCCTCATCACTGGTCTGCTACTAAAGCTTATTTAATCAATGATATACACTGAGCAAATGAAAACTATAACTCTCAGTTATTTTTATAATATGTTTGATTTTCAATTGAAAATATATTTTTAAGTTAGCGATATTATATTTACGCATTTACCACAACGCAGTTTTGACGAGTAATTATTAAAGAATATTTATGCCCAATGTAACCGTACCAACGGTCCTCCAAAAAATTCTCAATGGATACGAGAAGTTTCGTAAAAGAATTTATCAAACGTTAAACCACTTTTGTAAGGTTTGTGACGCCCGGATAGGAGTGACCCGCACTGCTTGACCGGCTCTTTCCTTGGATGACGGAGATGATACGCAGACCTGTCAGATAAGGGGTCAACCATAAAGGGGTAGGTCACAGCATACATATAACATAACAACACCCTACCGGGACTTCAGGGACAAATAGTCGTGTTCACATTGACACGCTTAGTCATGTAGAACAGGTTCTCGTCCACGCCGCGTGACCTCGTTCCTCAACGAGAGATACCCTTTGATAGTTTAACATGCTGTGTTCAAGAGACCGTGGTATAGATTCTATACGGCTGAAGGTGGAGCAACAGCCCACATTAACCCTACTGACATTACCAGGGAGTGGCTGGATTTACTTGTTGTCCATACTTATAGGCCAACGTCAGATGATAGCGGTGAACATTATAACGCTGCAGATCATGGCCGATGGTTGTTTGAAAAACAATCTGTCCCCGAAAACCCTGGAAAAACATAATTTGTTAACCATTTCATTTGACTTCCAGAAGTACAGGAAACCGGTTTATGAAGAAGCTGACGAAGTACCAGAGAAGACTCAGCCCGTCGATGAATACGACGTTGAGACGAAGTCGGCCACTGACGTGGAACCAGGTAACGTCAAAGGTGGCGCCATCAATCAAGAATTTGACCCGATAGGCGAGAAAACCTAGGAACCGAAAGAATGTGTTACCGATTGTAAGAGTTGTCTTGAAGTTTATTAAATCATATATATTGTAAAACATAATAGTATGGTTCTTGTTAAGCAATTTCACAAATTAATTCATTCGTGTCAAAAGTCTGTACATACTAAAACTATATAGTCATATTGGCGAGCTGATCATATAAACGTATTGTACATGCATCAGTCGCTTAAACTACATTGCTTGCTTACTACATACTACCGAATTGTTACATATGTACATTTATGTTGTTCATATATGTAATCATTGTATGTAACGTGTGATACAACAGCCGTGCTTTCTTCAGTTGGATGTTTGCACACAAGGTTATGTACCAATGCTGATAATTATTGTCACACCGATACTAAGACGCACATATCTATTTGTGACAATACCTATAACATGGGTATATATTATGAAACTGAAACCGTATCTTTATTTTAAAATCTGTTATCAATTTGAACCCATTTACTGTATGCTTAATAATTTTGCCGTTTGTGGTACCACAGATGGGGCAGGATAGACTCACCTATTCGCAAACTCCTGGTGTCATCACTATTTATGGTTTATTTTCTCGTAATATTCATACAATACAATACATATATTCTGCATGTTACTCGCTTTTGGATTATCTATCTAATGGTTCTTTACAATAGTAAGGGCACTGAAGATATATGAATTGTGCTATCAATTATTATATCAATATATTATGTTATTAAAATGTAAGACTATTCTCAAAAGGCATATATATCATATTGTCTTATAATAGATTCTCCAGCTTTGTTTTTGTTATGTCAAAAATTGTAATGCCAGTTGCTAAAACAGTATGCATAATAATAAGATGGATCAATGTGTGTTCCCCGAACACATACCAGTGGGGTTCCGGGTTAGAGTAGGCTCAAAGCAGCCTATGCTTGTCGCTAGAGGCGACCAGGTAGATCGGGTGTCAGACTCAGTGACTTTGTTGAATGTGTGTCATCGTACCAGTATGGGACGTTGTAATGGAACGCTCATTATATGGATCACTGGGGTTTTTTCTGGCCCAGGCTCGATTATTTAAAGATCGCCATCATATAGCTGGAATATTTCTGAGCATGAACAAATCTGAACAGGTCACGTTACAATACAGAGAACCAGTACAAAATAGTCATATCGGTATATGTACTCATATCTCATATCGTACCTCGTGGGGACTCCGGGTTAGAAATGGCAAGCTACGCTGGTCCTAAGAGACGACTTAACGGATCAGATGATCCTGACGGCCTGGATTGTTGTTCATAATATCCTAATATCTGTCTGGTCCAGACTCGATTTTTTGCAGGCCGCCCCCATATAGGTTGGCCCTTGCTGAGAGCGGCTTTTAACAACAAACACACACAATCTCGGCTCTCTTATACCATACAAACAACAGAGCTTACTTGCACAGACCAATCTTAGTTACAATCGATCTTAGGCGGCTAAACTAAAATTTACAATCACCATACAGTTGTCCTTTTCCACTTGCACAAAGCGATCTTAGCGCGATTGTAAGACGGCTTGGGTTTAAGGTCGAAATCTTCAATGGTGGAGGTACGATTATCTTAAACTCGACTAAGTCTACAGTTGTCTGCAAGCGCCCATAGCTTGCTGCGCATGCAATAAGTGGAACCGGTAACAACACACAACAATACCTCCCTCAATCGCACCTTGCACAGTTTTAGGTCCAAATTATTTGAAGGAAATGATTACTGGAAGGATGGCATATATATTTGTCGGCATTTAAGGATTAAAGTTGTATTTGTTGACGTTCATCAGTTCATGCACCCAGTAATGTTAGCGTTGGAAAGAAATACAGACACGGCTCATGCTCAAAATGGATACATGTAAACGTTCTGTGAACTTTTGGGGTGTGTTTGAGTCATACTACGGATGCTGATGACGGGGATTACCGCTTGAGGCGGCGCGGTTGGATTTCCCGAGACACGATAGTGTGGAGCTCGGGGATTTCTTTTGGTAAGTCGAGCATTATCTGTTATAGCTTCGAATCGACGCTTCATTTCGTTGACCCGACATATACATGATCTGTCTGACTTCAAAGCCTGCATCATTCATAGCCTAAATTGATGTCGCTCTCAATTTTCCTTAACTATTTTTAATGTTATTTTTAGACATGGAGGATTTCCCCTAAAGTAGTTCTGTATGTTTCCGATGTATGTCTTGACAACGTAATCACGTGACATACTGACGTTGATCGGGAAATGAACGACAGTCAGCTTGATAGTGTTCACCTGGGCGTGGTCACTCGCTACTGTCAATATTAGGAATTGTTTGATATTGCAACTTGAGAAATACCAACTCATGTTTTGTTAACATTTTTTAAATACGAATAAATATATTATTTAGTGACATAATTATGAAAATAAAATTTAATGATAATAATAATTACACGTAAATGCATGATCTTCATCTATTTAGGGGAGCTTTTCGAAAAATCCTAAATATATCCTTCATGTTTTCGTTTCGCTGCTGTAACAAAGGATGTTATGATTACCTTTTTCAAAACACAGAAATACGGAGGATTTCAAGAATGCATGGACGGGAAATAAGAAAAATTAATAATGTTTCGAGAAAGCAGTTGTTCACTGGGTATTAATTATATTGATAATTATTTTTAAAAAGTGTGAATTTTACTTTTGCTATTTATGAGACATTTCACACAAATTTCAAATGTCTCATCGTGTGTATTTGCTTGTTTGATGCATACTTGTATTTTCTTCTTTAAAATTCATATATTTTCCTCACTAGATTTTAGATTGAAACATGTTTGATTTGGCACTTCAACTTGTATTTATTTATAGATTAATTTATTGATAAACTAAAGAAAAAATAACTGACATGAATGTGACCCAAAAGAAATACAGGGTGAGCTCAGCGATTCTACAACAGTAATTAATACACTGTGACAAGATAGATTCTACGATGCTTATACAAAGAGAAACCCCTCCCATCTAGTGAAGCTTTCGCTCGGTCAGACACCATATATAGAAAGTCCACTCGTTTCGTAAAAATAGTACCTAAATAGAATGAGTGGCTACTGTAGTATTCTCTATTGGTGCCACGGGACCATATATGGTCCTTCACTTTTCACACCCTCGTAGTGTCCATTTTCAACTGTAAATTAAGATGTCAAACACTGAGCGCGCTCAATCAAAATTATAACCATCATCACTCTAATCATCTCAGCTTTAATATCGTGTGATTCATATTGTATACAGTGCTACGGATTGCGAAATATGGCGAGATCAGTAAAGTGGTTACCGCTCTTCTCGACCTTTTTCTGCCATGTAAACTTCCTGACGGTGATTTTTTTATGCCATGTCATGTACACGTAACTTTTATAATATCAGACAGTCAATTTGAAAAAGAAATCCATCAGACAGGCCAGAAAGATTTACTTTTCCCGACTGTACAGTTATTGGCGTGAGACTATCAATGTTTAGTCCTCAACGGAAGTTTGTGTTCAAGTATTGCATATTATTATCGACTGTGTGTCATAGTGATTTAGCACGGCGCCAGAGACGAAACGACAGTGCAGATTGTCTTTCTGTTTATGGTGCTGATTTACAGAAAATATTCAAATCTAACATATGTAAAGATAGCTATGATCGTTCATATTAAGGTGGTATTGTGTATATTTATGGACAAGAAGTTCATGATCAAAAGGTAAACATTGAATAGACAAGTGATCGACAGGGCACGTTTACATCATCGCTCTGCTGCGATTTCTTGTCTACTAGTTGTCATACGTGCTTCCCCGTTTCGACAGATAACTGCTGCTTTTTTCATATGAAATGACCAAGAGTCATGTGTTATTGCTCAAACTACCTGACCGTGTGAATGAATTGCCCTAACCGTTTCACATTTTGTCGCAAAAGGAGATTTCAAAAGTGTGGCCACGACATCAAACATGAGTCGACGCCAACTTGTAAACAAACTTTGTCGAAGTCGGTTTCACATGTGATAGCTCGGCACCCGTTTCTGCGATACAAATATAATACAACTATTGAAAACATCAACATAACTTCTAAACAAAATGTCAAAACGAAAACTTAAATATGGAAAGTCAACGCTAGAACATGACCAGTCTTGATTATCCACTGAAACAGATTCCATTGGCCGTAAAAGGCAAAACAGCGGTGAAAATTATATGCACAACTGATCTTACAACCCATAGGTAGACACATATCTATGTAAAATTTTCCATCAAAATGTATACCTAAAAGATTAAATTCGCTTTTTGCAATTGGACAGAGACGGAATGCATTCCTAATGTCTGCCTTAGCTAGGAGAGCTCCAGGTCCTAACACTTGGACCATGTTGACGGCATCGTCAAATGAGCTGTATGAAACTGATGACAAATTGTCATTGATGAAATCATTAACTGATGCACACTGAGGGTGAGATAAATGTTGAATCATTCTGAAGTCACCTGATTCCTTTTTGGGTACTGAGCCTTTAGGGGAAATTTTTAGGTTCGATATAGGTGGAAAATTAAAAGGCCAAGCTATCCGACCCAATGTGATTTCTTTCTGTAGCTTATCTTGCACGATCTCAGGATAGTCATAACAAGAGCGCAAATTTTGACAATAGGCAGACTGTCTGGGTCCTGTATACTGTAGCGTGAAACCAAAGGTGAATCCATCAAGAAGTTCTTTTCGGGCTTTTACATCTGAGTAGCTTGCTAATAATTCAGTGAGAGGTTGCAAATTGATGGGAGTTGGCCCTAATTCTGGCAAAATTACCTCCTGTAGGCTTTTTGCTGCCGGTCCCCCTGGTTCTGACTCTGAGGTTCTGCAGGCTTTTTTGCACAACTTGGCAGGGTGAGATTTTCCACAATTGATACATGAATGCATATACTTGCACTGGGTTCTCTTACAATTTCAATCATTGTAGTCGAAACATGGTGGTCTGTTGTAATTGGGTCGCCTTGCAAATGAAGAGCTGGTTGTTGTTGAATATGTTGGTGTTGGTGTTGGCATAGTTGACGGCATGACGAACATAAGCCAGAGCTCAGTGTTTATTTCACCCCAGTTAGTGAGCGGAAACTCCTCCATACGTAGGTGAAACTGACGGTCATATGCTTTCCACCCCAATCCCTTAAATCGTGATGCTGCCATACGAATTATGCTGATGTACTTGAGCAACTGCTGGTATTTTGTGAAAAACTTCTCCAGATATATGCTTGCAAAAATTAGAAAAGCATCTGTCCAGGCTGAGATTGAATCAATACTCTGTAATCCTCGTTTGATAACCTGAATGGCTCCTTGATCATTAATTCCTAGAGGTGTGGGTCCAGCTGTATCCTCATTTGTAGCAGATCCCTTCAGTAAAATGCACAATTCAACAAATTCATGCCTCCAAATCCTATCTTTGACACACTGCTGTACGGTTATTCCTAGCGTGTCTTGTGCCAGTGTAATGGGTTCTACCCCATCATGTGTGATAGGCTGAATACTCCCCAATGGTTGAATACTGCCGACAGGTTGACCTAATTCAGAAGCGGGTGTAACCAGAATCTGAGAATGCATAGTGGGTGCAGATATATTAGGTCTTTTACCCTGTGTGACGTGTGCTGTAGTGTTTATGCCTACCATGTCTAAATTACCATGAAACAAGTCAATTGTAGGAATTGGCTCACCGTGTCTAATGGTCCCACTGTCAGACGTACTTGGTCCAGGAGCCCCGCTGGGGTTTCCCGCCGTTGGCGCCATGCTGTCTGACGGCCCGACGATAGGCCTAATGTCCTCAGACTGTTTGCTGTGTTTTGCCGTTAGGTCTGCCCGTTCCTCCACACGTCGCCTCTTCCTACCCGCTCCCCTAGTCTTCATAGTCTTGGAACGAACTGTTACTGGACTACCACCCCTTTTAGTCTTGCGCGGCATGCTAGAATCTTCTAAATAGTTCTCTCTCAATTTGAAACGTGTTGCTTGATCGGCTGTTGGTTCGGAAAGGCCGAAACTATGAAAACTGGCATGCTCGCAGAATTGCGATTGCGCAACTTACATAATTACCTCCCTTTGACCGCAGACTTGATACTGAATGATGGAACAGCAAATAGCTATGTTTGCTGCAAAGCTATAAATGAATTTTATTTTATACATGTATAATAAAATTAATTATATGCAAAGGCTCCATATATAGTCTTGTTGGAGGAAATTACATCTAAAATTACACAGCTTCATCTGCCCCTCCGTTCGCTTTCTAGCAAGCATGAATATGAGTGGTATTAAGGGATTGAAACATACTCCTCTTTCTTTCAACAACGGAAATGTGACAAAGGCCTACATCATCTACATCACAAATTGAGTTCAGTAATCGGTGAGAAAACAATGTGCGAAACATACTTTTTGGATTTTAGGGTCGATGTGGTTCAATAGGGTATAGCTTATATTGTATATACCTGTGGCTGAGGCCGTATTTGTTTGTAGTTCTTGTGTTAAGTGTTTGGTTGTATAGAAGAAGAAGAAGAAGAAGAAGAAGAAGAAAAATAGTTTATTTAAGTGTCCAGCGGTGTATACATAAAATTACTTCAATTTATACAAGAGGTAAAATATATTAAAAGATATACATCGCCCGGCCAGCGTGGGCCTATTAGACACTAATGTTCTTAAAAGCACCGCAAGTGCTAAAATAGTTATGTTGGACAGTGGTTTATTTGTTAATGGTGCACAAAATACGAGATAAAAGTATAATGCTCGTACATTTATGACAAGCATTGCCATACAATGACATGTTTTATCAAATATAAAATATACAGAGGCATACAATACTGGAATGGGTTTATGACACGTTGTTATATAACCTACGTTTGTACATGGATTTATACTATCTATGTTAAGTGTTTGGTTGTATACTAGATTGGCTTGTGCTGATTTGGGTGTGTGTTTAATTTCAGAGTCTTTAAACCCGCCAAGATTTAATCAATGATATCACCAACTTAACAACATTGTTTCGAGCCTAAAGAGTCTGAAATTATAAGAAAGTGTTTTGGATTTAACTCTTGGCTTGGTGGAGGGCAGTAGAATTTTGCTGCATTTGTGTGAGTATAGTTTTCATAGTTGAAGATAGTGGTAATTGATTTTGGTTAAGTGACATGCATACCTAGCCTTGTTGTTTTGTCAGTAATTACAGATGCATCTGTGTATATGTGTGTATGACTGGGTCATTTTTCTTGTATGTAGTTGAGTGTAATTGTTGATTTATCTGTTTTAGTTACTTTCGGTAGGGTTTGGAAGGTGGTGTGTAACGACAAGTCTGTGTCATGTGCTGGTTTGTCTTGGATATATACACAAAGAAAAAAGTTAAGCACACCCCTATTTCTGAGCCATGACAAATGGCAAACATCATGGCATGGGATGACTGACCACAGGAGCTGGGCGATACCAATGTCATTGGATAGAACAAACATTTGACAACAAATTAAGAAGATGTGGTTGAAATTTACTGACAAAAACATCATAGTAAAACAGGTACTGTTTTGACCTTAGACAATACCTAAAAACAGTATGGAGCTGCAGGATTAAGTGAACGAGCTCCTTAAAGCTTCTACATGACATGACACGTGAAACAGATCAGTAGCGGCTATAACCGCCACTTGCCCGGAAGACGTATTCCACCCTATGTCTCATGCCTCCAGTCAGACGTCGGATGGGTCAACAACAACCGCTCCTGATGCAATGCTGCTTCCAATTGGCGTAAATCTTGTACAGGAGGATCTCGTGCCTGTATGCGCCGCCCCAGAATATCCCAAACATGTTCCATCGGGTTCGAATCTGGGCTCATTGCTGGTCAGGGTAGAGTCGTTATTGCATTGGCCCTCATGTAATCCACGACTGCTTGCGAACGATGATGCCTGGCATTGTCATCCATGTACTGAAGTCGAGTAGCAAGAGGGTGGTTGTCAAAATGAGGAACAACGACTGACCTGAAAACGTCCCGGATGTACTGAGCCCTTGTTAAGTTGCCCCTTATGGTGACCAAATCCAACCTGCAATCATGAGAGATACACCCCAAAACCATTACCGAGCCCCCGCCGTATGCAACAATCGGTTTAATGTTCCTGGGGGTGTAGGCCGCGTTCCGGTGCCTCCAAACTCTCGTTCTTCCATCAGTGACGTGGAGCAGAAAGCGACTTTCGTCTGACCAATGGATCCGTCTCCAAGTTCTCAGATTCCAGTTCTGTCGCGCAATACACCATGCAAAACGAGCAACTTTGTGGGACAAGGGACGCTTTATGACTCGTCTAGCCCTCAGTCCTGCTGCTTTCAGCCGGTTCCTGACGGTTCTGGTGCTGATTGGGCAACCACAGCTGTTTCAGACCTGTACTTGTTCAAAAGATTCTCTGCGTATGAGACGAAGAAGGTAGCTGTCTTCACGCTTCCACCTGTGATAACATTTTTATTTTACAGTCTATGGCTCAGAAATTCATAACGCGCAAAAAGGGAAAATTTTATTGCGCATTCATAGATTTTCAGAAAGCCTTTGATAGAGTTAGTCATGATAAGTTATTATTTTTATTGTTACAAAATGGTATACATGGACAATTTTATAATGTTATCAAGAGTATGTATGATAATGTGAAATCTGCTGTTGTAGTTAATGGTGGTAGAAAATTATCAGAATATTTTTCTTGTACTGTTGGTGTTCGCCAGGGTTGTACATTAAGTCCCCTGCTGTTCTCCATATTCATTAAAGAGCTTGTTGATTATATTAGCAAGTCTTTTGAGGATGGTATATTTATATCCGAAGAAATGTATAATATTCTTGCTCTCCTTTTTGCTGATGATCTCATTCTTGTAGGAGACACCCCTCTTAGATTGCAAAAGCGATTAGATCAGCTTGCTGTTTATTGTTTTAAGTGGGGAATGGAGTTAAATATGGATAAGTCAAAAATAATAGTTTTTAAGAATGGAGGTAAACTTTCTAGATATGAAAATTGGACATATAATGGTGTTAAAATGGAAACTGTAAGTTTTTATAAATATTTGGGGTTGATGGTAACACCAAAGCTTGTTTGGACTAAAGCATGTAAAGTATTATCAGAGCAAGCTAGTAAAGCATTAATCCCAGTAAGGTCTTTGATAAGAAAATTTGATATTCCAGTGGAAAATTCATTTCAAATTTTTGACAAGAAAATTATGCCAATTCTTACATATGGTAGTGAAATATGGGGTTTTATGGAGAGGGAGAGTATAGAAATTGTTCATAGAAAGTTTTGTAAATTTATTTTGAATATTTCTTATAAGTTACCAAATGCAGTAGCCTATGGAGAATGTGGCAGACGTCCACTTAAAGTTGTATATTATGTCAAATGTATAAAATATTGGTTACGGCTTATCGCCATGTTCAGAAGTAGGTACCCATATCAGTGTTATCAAATGCTAAGAAGTTGTTGTGATAGGAAACAACCTAATTGGGCCACTCATGTTAGAAATTTATTATGTTTTTTATGGTTTTGGAGTAGTATGGGTATCGAATGAAGTGGCAGATGAGCAGTTATTTCTAAACATATTTAAGCAAAGAGTGTTGGATTGTGCAACACAGGATTGGCATTCAGATGTGGAACAAAAGAAAGTGCTTGTTTTTTATTCCTCATTTAAATCTTTGTTAGAATGTGAAAAATATGTGGTTTGTATAAATGTAACTAAATTTAGAAGAGCGTTGTTAAAATTCAGAAGTGGTTTTAATTCATTTGGAATCCAGAATGTTAGAAAAGGTAAATGTGTTAAAGAGGATAAAGAAGCAATTTGTTTTTTTTTGTAATGTTCTTGAGAATGAAAATCATATTATATTTCAATGTCCTAGGTATGAAGATAGCCGAAAGTTTTTTCTAGAGGAGTTGAGAAAAAAGAATAAATCATTTGTTACTATAAATATGTTGTGTACATCAGATCAAAGTGAGATTTTATATTATTTCTCCAGATTTCTATATACCATTTTCAGTATCAGAGGGGATGTCTAGTATTTTTACAGTTATCACTATTTGAAATGTTTCAGGGTTCACTGTACTAAGAAAAGAAAACAACTAACTGAAGCGTCTGGAAAATCTTAGTTTGTCAGATTTATATAACACTTTATATAATCCCATCACTGTCAGTATGCTATCTGTTTCTATATTTATATTGAGGTTTATTAGCTAATAGAGCGCATCCAAAATATATTGTAACTATGGGTCATGTGGCCTTCTTTACTGAATAAAATTCTGTCTGTCTGTCTGTCTGTCTGTCTGTCACGCTGTGTTGTCACAGGAGGTCTTACGGATCTGGGACGGTCCTGTACATCACCGGTCTGAACATGTTTCTCGACTTAACGGCTTACGACAGTGGGATGATACACCAAATCCCGACGAATGGCATTACAAGACATTCCTGCGTTATGCATGCCGATTATTTGCCATCTTTTGGCGTTTGATAATCGCCTTCGTGCCATGGTCACACAATATCATGGAATAACTATTTGAAACCGAACTTAAGAAAGCACTTATCGTTTGGATATACTGCATTTAGAAATGCTCGAGGGTAGCATGCTGCATGGGCAGACTATGCATGGCACGTGAGCTTTCGTCACGCAGGATTGATTACATCATCTCGAGAAAACAATTATTCCCGTAATTATATCTTTCATGACTGTTACAAATATTGGGACCAAACAATAATGAAATAAAATTTATATTAGGGTGTGCTTAACGTTTTTCTTTGCGTATATTTTTCTGGTAGTGGTGCATAGGTTATGTGATCTAGGTTATGTTTGTGTATGAGTTTGAGGAGGTGGGTGTAATATGGGGCTTGCGTGAGGTTTGGGTTGAATTTAAGTTAAGATTTGTTTATGTTTTGATATTTTGTTTGCATAGATTGTGTCAGGGCCCAGCCCATTAAGTTAGACTGATTTGTTGGCGACAGAAGTGGGTGGAGATTATACCTTATAAAACGAGTAGGGTGC